CATTTTAGGCTAGGTTACATGGCTCAAACCATGACATAATTGGCTAATTTTGTTCCATTATTTACAACCGTGATATAGCCGTAACCACCAGACAAGTATGAGAAGTGACTTGATACACAACACAAACATACATTGCATACAATCCCACAGGCAGGTGATGTCCAAGTTTGCACCTACTGTTGTCCAGTACATGAATTTCTATTTGAGTCCTGCAACACATCAGATTAAAATATTTTGAAAAGTATTACAATTTTTTACTGCCTATTAGGGCTGCACAAAATCAAAAAAGTGCAATATTGATATAGCAGTAATTCCATGTACTAAATCATGTGTTTTTTCATGCTTTGTGATATGCTGTTCAAGCCCAGTGAGTCTCTTGGTAAAGGGGCTGGAAAGAACAAAACATAACATTGCGAGAGAAGAGATGCGCAACAATGAGGGCATCTGCTGCTTGTTCCCTAAATCATTGCAGTTCCAACATGCAGACTGATTTCTTTGGATAATTAAAAGATTGCAATATTGTTATCACAGCCCTTGACGCAACTATTGCCTATCACACTTATCATCGCATTATTAAAGCTCCTAGCTGCTTGTGGAACACTATGGGGTGGCACAATGGTCCTGGGTTTGATTCCACTTCCAGTCGAGGCCTTGCACCTTCTCCCTGTGTCTGCGTAGGTTTCCTCTGGTTGCTCCGGTTTCCCTTACCACTAAAAACACGTACAATTGGTATGAACGATATGGGTGTGTGTGAATGGATGGTGATGGTCGGAGGCTTTGAGTTTTCGGCGTCTCGCTCCTGATATTTGAACAATAGATGAATATAAAGATGACTTACTGACGGGTGGATAGCGTGCGGCTAATGCTGGGTGTTTGCTGCGCTGCTTTGTGACTACGTTTACACGCTTTGCTTTGTTGTAAATTGGGGGTTGCTGCTCTATTGCCAGTTCCTTGACATCATCCATATCACATGTGGACTAATTTGATTGTTTTCCACAAACACACATCATCATAGGTCAGGAATCAGTGCAAAGTCAATGACACTGAGCTTGAGGTCATTGGCGTGGTATCGGCACACGGTGGGGTCAGCCCATGTTCTGTGAGGAGGAGGAGGAGGAGGAGGATGGGAATGTGTCACTAAAGAAACACAGCTGTGTGGATGCGGGCTGTGCTCACACTCCGCTCTGGCCGGTCCAGCTGGGGTGTTAATTTCACCTCCAGGCCGTGCGCTGGGCTCGCTGTTGACCCCAAAACGCTGTAACCTCATGAAGTGTGGAATTCTCCGAGCCCGCGGGCCGTAATGTGCTGTTTCCTGTAGAGAGTGCATTCCTCAGACTTGTCCCGTTCCTCGCTGTAAACTCCAAGTCTTTGGGTGGTAGTCCGCAGCTTGGAATGTGTTCACCAGGCATTTTTGAACTGTGTTAAAGAGTTTCCTCATGCGTGAGTTCATGAGATCTTCGTTTAACGTTGAGAAAAACGTGTTAACGCAGAAATATGCTGCATTATTTTTGGTGAACAAATGTGATGATGAGATGTTTTATTTTGTCACATCATGTCTGAGAAATTGACATTAGAAAATATTAGGCAGAACATGTATCAAGGATAACAAAATCTATCTGCCTGTAACTCCCTATGCTACCACCAGAGGGAGGAGGGGAATTTAATTGTATTCATTTTTCTCTCCATTTTTTGAACTACCAGTTACAAACACAGCGACGTGGTTATAACATAATCTCAATTTCAAAAGGAATTGCCAAAACTAATTGAAGGGACATCATTTTGCTTAAATGGCATAACACTGCTCTGAGCGTAATGTCATAGGGCGATAATGACATCATACTATTACAGGAATGAGACAGGAGCATTAAGATAGAAGGGGCGGAGTTGCATGTTTGATCTAGTCTGTTGTTGATAATGGAACACAGGTGTAAAGTGGTTAAAAGTTGAAAAACTGAAAACAAAATATATTAATGTTGTTTTTCATTGCAATATTTCTTCCAAGCTCACCCATTTGCTGGAATTATGAGACCATACATATTCAATCTGTGGTTCTAAAAAGTCTAAGACACACAAAGTGAAATTCCTTTGCCACTCCCACAACGGAAGAAACACATATGTAAACCCTATCTACATCAGTACTATCGCCGCAAGAGATTCAACCATGTTCTATAAAACAAGTCAAACCATTTACATTTAATTAAACAATGGATAATAATCATCAAGAAGTGTAAATTAGCACTGCTGCTAAAACCTGGTACAATGCATTTCTCCTTCTGGCTAATGTTTATTGTACACTGTCCCTGTAAAAATAAAAACCATACCATACCATACCATTTCTTAGGGTAGACTTCACCTGAACCGTGTGACTTAATTTTGTCTATGAGTGATTGTAGCTTCAGTTAAAGGTCCCATATTAGGTTTTTGACTTTTCTCTGCTTTAGACATCATTGCAGTGCTATTTGGACTTCATACACATGCCCAGAGTAGTTTTTTTCATATACCATCCAGCTTCAGTTAGAGAGCAATCTTTCTCTTTTATTCTCACCACTATGCAAGAAATGGCTATAATTTCTGAGTGCTGTATGGTGTATTATATTGTATTAACTATATAAACCTTATACTTTTGAAGAATGTCTACAGATCAGAAAAACATACGGTCACTTATTCCTTACATCATTAAGTTGTTGTTACTTCTAGTTAGAATATGCACTGTATATCATCACTTTTGGAGACTGCTGACCACTCCAGCTCGGGCCGTCACATCCCCTGTTTTCCCAAGCCTTCAGTGCACTCTGCGCTGAGTGCACCAGACAAGCCCACTTGTTAGTGCGCTGTCAGTGTGCAGAGGGTCTAAATCAGTTCCATGCTCGGGCTTTGAAGGAGTCCTGTGTTTCAGGGCTGTGGACTGGCCACGGATAAGCATGTCGCTTCAGTTAACCAAGGCCTGCTATTAATGATGAGTATTATAAACATGACTTCAGACAGGCTCAGATGAGAATTGCTGTTTGGTTACAGAAAAAAAGAAATCAAGTGTGTTTTGGTAATGCCTGGAGACACGGCTCCCTCTCCTCTGGTTCTATTGGTCTGGCTGGGTGGTCCGGCACAGAGAAACAGCTATGCTTGTATACACCTACCATGGGATGAAAATATTCAACTTTTGCTACATGAACTGAAAATAATTGTTCTATCGAAATATGGTGTTTATTACGGAGTGATTATTCACACGACTGGTTAATGGAGGGAAATATTATCAAACTGTAATCTACAATACTTGCTGGACTAGCTGGAACTTTTCATTAAATCTGCTTCCTTGCGATGTTGCCAATATGTATTTTTACATGGGGTGTACGAAGGGATTTGGACACAGCTGTTAACTCTAGAGCTGATGTCTTAGCACACATTCCTGCTTCAATATGTTTATGTGAACAGCATGAGTGCCAACACTGGGAAGTGCAGGGAAACGCACAGGACTTGTCTATTGTCAGAGATTACAGGCTTTATTATTTTGACTCCAGTTAATTTTAGTGTTTTCAAAATAGATTGTATTTTTAATATCACAAGAGTGAGTTGTTTTTTTTTCCATCAGCTGTGGGTCAAGTTACATTACAACATAAATACCTGTTGTATTTATGTTGGCCACACCTACAGAACAAATTGTGTTGTGCACAAACTTTACCATCACTTAAAATGTAGCGTACCTAATAGTCCAGCCAGTACTGTATTGATTCATACGTAGTGTGAGTATTTTCAATTGTCTGTAAAAGCAAGGGTAAGAACAGTCTTTGAAATAATCATGCTTTACGTTCTATACCTCCTTGTACGTTTGAGCAAGGACCAGTGCAGGGTTCAAAGGATGCTTTTAAACAACCCACACAGGAGGAGATCCCAGTCCCTCTGCAGCAGTGGGAGTTGGGCCTGGAGATGTGCTCTTTTTTCACACTTGCGACACATGTGCTCAACGTGCTCTGGCGCTTACCACTTGTTTTGGTGTTATGTGAATGCATTAGAATGTTTGGCAGCACGGTGGCTGAGTGGATAGCACTCTCTCCTCTCAGCAAGAAGGTCCTGGGTTTGAATCCCGGTCGGAACAAGGCCTTTCTGAGTGGAGGTGGCATGTTCTCCCCGTGTCTGCGTAGGTTTCCTCCGGTTACTCCGGTTTCCCCTACCACTAAAAACATGTACAATAGGTCTGGCATGCGCCTCCTGTAGTGGCGACCTCGCTCCCATCTCTGTGTGGAGTGAGAGACAAATGCCCAAAAAATAACAATTGTAAACCGCTTTGTGACTCTGAAAGGCGGTATATAAATAAACTAATAAAGATAAAGATAAAAGCATTGTGCTTATTGTTCCATTTAGTCAGAACAAGTGTTTATACTGTCTTCTGGATACTAAAGTAGTACTAATGTGGTCCAACCATGTCCTAAGTATGACCACATTATTTATTTAGTCATTCTAAATAATGATTAACTCAAAGGATGTCAACAATGTTTGACAAAAACTAGTTTTAAACATTGTAGAATGGCAAGTTACTTTAAAAAGGTTTTATTAACATTTATGGACATTGGTCGTCACGCTCCCTATGGACCAGTGGCTTCGTTATGTTTGTTGTTATTATTGCAGTTCCTGTTTTCAAACTGTTTGATTATCTGATCTGTTGTTTGTGAATGGACAACCTTGTGAAGTCTTCTTAGACGCTGTTGTGAATTAAGGCGCTACAGGCGCTAATTAATTGACTTGAATTGAGTAAATCCACTCAAATGTGTGGATTTGCATGAAAATGTGATCAATTAAATTCAAACATCAATTTACTGCAAATGGCAAATACACTGAACTTCTCATACTGGTTATTTTGATCATCATATTGTTATTGCTATGACTGGAATGTTCCAAACTGCCTAAACATTTCGAATATGCATTGTTAACCCAAAAACATCTTTGTACGGATCTGAGCTGTATTTCTGCCTGGTTAATTAAGTGTGTTGTTTTGTGTGTGTTTTCAGTGGGAGGGCGTGTGAATCGTGAGCTGAAGTATACTCGTCAGAAGATGGGTGAGGAGGCCATGTTCAACCCTCAGCTCATGATCCAGACGCCGCTGGAGGAAGGAGCGAACGTGCTGACGGTGGAGGCGCTGCTACAACACCTGGAGTCCGCCCTCCGAGCCAGCAGGGTCCACGTGTTCCTCTATGAGAGGTACTGCGATCAACACGTACAATAACACATACATCCAAACATACTGGATTTGTTATAAGGTAAACATTGACTTTTTACTATGGAATACTCAAACTAGGATTGAAACTGGATAATAATTTGAGCAAGTATTGACAACATTGGACATTTCTTGAGCATTTCTTTATCAATTTTAATCTATACCAGAAGATATGTGTCTCTCCATAAAAAGTATTAGTTCAGTGGCTCAGTTGGTTGAGCATTGGCCTTTGAGCCTGAAGGTTGTGGGTTTGAGCCCACCATGAGACCTTCTCCACCGACTCCCATTTTATGCTTGGGCAAGACACTTTACCCACTTAACCTATTAGGAGCCCGGAAGTAACAGCACGCTGCATGCCTTGATGTGTATATGTGTGTACTCTATACTATTCATCAAACTGAATTTCTCCATTGTGAGATCAATAAAGTATATCTTCTTCTTCTTCTAGTATTTGGAGTTTAAAAATACAGCTTATTGTCACAAAAAACACAAACATTTATAAATGGTTGCAGTGGTATCAAGTATCAAGTATTTTTTTCTAGTATAGAAATTTACTTTGAAATTGAGTGTCATGGCAACACAAATATATTATAGAATGAAATCGGATGGATGGATACCAAATACCCTCAAGGAGATTAACATGAGGCCTCCTTTAATTCATAACAAGCACTTAAAAAGTACAAATGTGAAATCCAAGCCATTCGTTACAAAAATACACACCAGAACCAAAAGGAAATATTATGTGGGAAAAAATAGTTTATTAAAAAACCGCAGACAAGTTCCATATCATATGAATAAAGTGCGAGATCATTTTCTCTGTGTGTGCTGTTTGTAATGACCTGGCCTGGTTGTAAGTACGGTAACTATTTCCAATCCAGGGCATACTGTTGTTGTGTCCTTGAGCAAGCCTCGTATGGATGTATTAGTGGCTTATGCTTGCACGGCGTGATTCTAAACGTACCTCTTATTTGCAGACACTGGACATTAGAACATTTATGCTACAAATCAGGAGAACAAGTGACAGAAACACCGGTTGTTGACCAGGTAGGTGTGACCATAAATAATTAAATGAATGAAAATGATTGATAATAATTTGGTTTCTGTTTTATCTGTTGCATTAGATCCTAGACCGACTACACCCCTGCCTCATCATCACCCCCTTGGATTGTTTCTGGGAAGGAGCCAAACTTCAGTCTGGAACAGTCTACTTGCCGTGAGTACAAAGTTATTTCTGTCTTTCTATTCATTTAGGTCAGTCCAATAATTGCTGATTCCATTACAACTTTATCCGCTTTATCCGTGGCCGGGGCACAGAGGCAGCGGTCTGAGCAGAGACTGGCTGTTGCTGTACTGTCCATCCGCCCCTGGGGATTATTTGAATTCCTTATCCAACAATTAGAACTGGAACTTTATAAGCAAAAGGGTCCACTAATTATCGGGCGGGAAATGATAGGAATCTATATTGCAATTTATCTATATCTTATGTCGGCCAATTTTTGTCTGTTCGTGTCTTTGTGTGTGTGTTTGTGTGTATGCATATCTGTTTGTGTGAGCGTGCGTGTAAGTGTGTGCATGTGCGTGTGGGTTTGCTTGTCTGTTTGTGTGTGTGTGTGTGTGTTTTTGTATGAATATGTGTTTGAATGAGGGTGTGCATGTGTGCGTGTCTGTGAGTGTACGTAGGTCTTTGTGTGTGTGTGTGTAAGTGTGTGCTTTGTGTCTGTTAATATGTGTTTATGTTTGTGTGTGTGTCTGTTTGTGTGTGCATGTATGTGTGTGTGTGTGTGTGCTTGTCTGTGAGTGTATGCAAGTCTGTTTGTGTGTGCATGTGTGTGTGCGTGGTGGTCTGTGTATATGTGTCTGTATATACATTTCTGTTTGCGTGAGTAAGTGTTAGTGCGTGTGTGTCTGTGTTTGCCAGTATGTGTGTGTCTGTCTGTGTCTGTGTATGCTTGTGTGTATGTGCACGCCTGTATGTGTGTGTCTGCATGTGCATGTGCGTTGACTCGTTCCCATTGAAGGCCCTATTGTAATGGCTGCTGGCAAGCGTAGCCAGCTCTGCTCTGCTCCAGCCCTGGGCCTGACCCTATTGTCCTGTGCCGTGTGGTAATAATGGTGTGCCCCTACAGTAGGACCGGGCCTGGACCCTCCGTTCTGTGCTTGCACCCCTCATTTTAATCGTTGGAACCTCAGCCTATTCCTTGGTGCAAAATGTAACCAAGCTCAGTGCTCAGGGATTTAAGCGAGTTACTGTTAATCTCATACTTATCATTTTTCAGTGTTCTGGTTGGAAGACTGTGGATAATAAAGCAAGCCTGGTTAAGCACGTACAATGTATTCTGAATGATGGAGAGAGCCGTTTGGAGAAAGAGAGATCGGAATGTGTGAGGCACAAAAAGCACACGGAGACAAGGACTGGTTCATTGAAAGAATGCTGCCTGTGCACGATGGGAATTAGTCTCAATTTGTTGTTTGTGTCATTTTGGAGAAGGAAAAGCTTTCACTGATGTCTTTGTTCAGTGAGGGATCTGATTTCTAATCCAGGCATGTGCGATAATCCGTCAATGTCGGTGTAAAGACAGTATTTTGTGGAAAAAAGGGAATCCCGGTTGGAAATAATGGAGTAACGTTGAGCTGTGAGCTGTAATAACATTGTTTCAAAAGTTCGAGAGTTTCCTTTTATTTATTTTTTAGATGAGTTTTCTTAAAGCTGCAGTACTTCACTTTCCAATCACAAACAACAAACTTGTGTTATCAAATCCATCTAACTAGTTCCTTACTTGCAGAATGTTTTGGTTCTAGCTCTAGTTTTTGCATGCCTTTTTGGCCTATTTTTGGTAAGTTTTTTTGTATAGCACAATTCATACACAAGAAAACTCAAAGTGCTGAACAAAACAAGAGACAGATTGAGACAAGATGGAGACAGAAAAGTGAAAGAGAGACCCCACCCTCTGCTCAAAGCGTCAAAAAGTGACTCACAGTGCTCTTTCTTACATGTTTACTATTATAATATGCATGTTATGGTCTGACAGTTTACCAGTTTACAACACTCCCCCCATTGAGACAAACAGAGATTATCTATGAAACTAAAAAGTAAGGTTCACCAGCTTTAATCAGGGAATTTGGTTTTGCAGGACTCGACATATAGCATATGGGGCGACAGTAGCTCAGTTGGTAGAGCATTGGCCTTAAGGCCAGAAGGTCGTGGGTTCAATTCCCACCTCTACACCTTCTCCACCGACTCCCACTGATGACTGCTGTCGTTATGTCCTTGGGCAAGACACTTAACCCCACTTTGCCCAAAGCCCCCACTGAAAGATCAAGGCTATGCTCACAGTCAGAGAGCAGCCGTCCTCCCGTGGACTCACCACCTGCAGAGGGTCAGTGAGGGGCTGGTGCTATGAGACTTGGGTGGCATCTCTGACTGTCACCCCCCTGACTCAGAAATGGATTAAAGGGTAGAAAATGGATGGATGGATGGAGGACTCGACATATAGCACAAACAGACCTCATAGTGTTTGTCATTTTAACTGTGATAAAAAAGATTGTACTGAATAGTGCAGGTCTCCAACCTGTGGCTCGGGAGCTACCTGTAGCTCGCCACCCCTCATCAAGTAGCTCCTCAAAGGATTCGGGAATTTGAACCATGTTCCTAAATTATTAGATTTTGAGCCCTTGCATATCAATTTAAAAAATGCATGTTTTCATTCTGTTCACAAATGCAAGGTTATACAATAATTGGTACATTTTTAGTGTTGTCTATGATTTTACACAGTTTATACATAGACTACAGTTTTATTATAACTGCATTATAGAGTAGCTTCCTGCTATTTCTGTTCTTTAAAAGCAGCTCTCCAATCGAAAAATGTTGGAGACCACTGATGTATTGTAGATAGTGTCCTTTGCATTAAAGGACATTATAGCTATGTTTTTTCTTTTAATCAGTTTTGTTTTTCAAAATGTGTTTCTTTTCACAGAGGAAAAGACTTGGTTCAATGGTACAACTTCGACCCCAAGGAGTTCCTGCAAGAGCTGCGAATGGCGCACTTCCCTGTGGAGTCCTTCCAAGACATGTTGGAGAAGGCGGACATTGGACACGGATACATGGACCGGCCTTGTCTCAACCCTGCTGACCCCGACTGCCCCCTCACTGCTCCCAACAAGAACTCCACTAAGGTAGACCCCTCACACCCCCAGCCACACTCACAATTACCACGATTCAGATGACGGCACAACAACAATTAGGCCTTTTTAGTCGTACTGCAGGAGAGGGCCAAACCACCATTTTTAATATATCGCCAGTTCATGGGCTTTGTCACTGGGATAAATATGACGGATTAAACGTTTGTGGAATTGTGGGGGTAAAACATCACAATATTGTCATCATGATATTCTCAATATTGACTAGGAATTTGAATAATAATAATATTTTGCCATTTTCCAGTATTCTATCTTTCTGAGTTTGGTATAAAGTATAGTTAATTATAGTTATAATTCAGAATCACACCTTTTTTTTTGGATAGAAAAGTGACAACAGGCGTATCATTCTCAACTAAAGCGTCAAATAGTGACTTACAGAGATTTCATTAAGTACACAAAAGTGTTTTCTGAAAAGACGAAGACATATTGTGGTCTGATTTGTTGATAAAATGTTACTTTAGCGAGACTTTCTGTTATATGTAATATTTATGAAAATGTTATTTGCGCTATAAGGATTGTCATGGGCGAAATTATGGATTAAGACTGAGGGGGTTTTTCTCTATGTAAATCAAAGCACAAGTAAAAACCAAATTCTTCTCCTTTCCTGTTTCATTTCTTTGTTTATTTGAACAAAGCTGCCCAGTTAAACACACTTGTTATTTTGTGCGCACCAATTGAGGTGTGAAAAACCTGTCCTATCGTATTGGAATGAGGCAACGAGCGGTGATGCATTTGAGCGCTTGTTTGCTAGTAAAATATGTATGATAGCAATTTTATTTACAACTACATATACAAAGTTTGAGTAATATGGGAAAGTTACGAGATGGCATTGAAAGCGTCCAAAGGTCTAGAGCCCCGAGTGGCTAATCTCATCCAATTGAGTGTAATTTTTGTACATGCTCTGTTCTCAGTGTAATCTACAGCTCTACTACTTCCTACATTCATGGTTTGAAAAATCAGATACCACTGTCTCCCTCAAACAATACATACAACTCTGCACATCAAAGGAAAACCCACTTACATGATGACGATGATAAAGAAGGTCAAGGTCAAGTTGAAGTGCTTTCCAGACATTGCAAAATAGATGCACACAAATTAAATACAGCGTAAAATAAAATACTGGTCCGCTATCATAAGAGTTTTATTTTAGCGTGAGTTAAAAGCCAGAGTAAAGAAATGTGGCTTTTGCTGTGATTTCAAGCTCTCTACAGAAGGGGTGGCTTTGACGCAATAAGGGAGAGTTTGGGCCCTGCCACAGCAAAGGCTCGGTCTCCTCTGGTCTTTAGTCCAGAGGAGACTGAGCATTTATGGACATTTATCAACATTATGGACATTTATCAACATTCATGGACATTGGTCAACTCCCTATGGACAAATACCTGTGTGTTCTATATTTTTGGTGTCTTAACTGCTGATTCACTGATCTGTGTTGACGATTTCAACAGTTATGTTAAGACCTCTGAGATAACTGTTGTGATTTAGGGCTATACAAGAATTAATTGATTTGAATTGAATAGTCTAGACCTGGGACAGTGCATAAGAAGCTGGTCAGAGGACCTCAGTGCTCTGCCCGGAGTAGGAGTAAAGTAAACAAATCAGTCAGATACAATGGAGCCAAGTCATGCAATGGTATTAAATATGAACAATAATATTTTGAACTGAATTCTAAAAGCAACAGGAAGCCAGTGGAGGGACAACAGCACAAGAGTGATATGCTCGTGGCGTCTGGTGCCAGTCAGTGTCCGAGCTGCTGCATTCTGTACTAACTGTAGTCTAAAAATTGGGGATTGTCTAAGGCCATATTATTCCCTCTGAACTCAATATCTGAATTCTGAACATTAGCACTTTGGGTGATCTTGATCTGTAAAATGCACTATATATAAACATTAATTACTTACTTACTGACTGAGACTCACATATTTCCTTACCTTTATTCCCTCCACAGCCTCTGGACATCGCTCGCACCCTGACCGGCGGATGTCACGGCCTATCCAGGAAGTACATGCACTGGCAGGAGGAGCTGATCGTAGGCGGGACCACCAAGAACGGCAGCGGTCCCCTGCTCAGGTATCCCAGCCTCATCCAGCCTCATAAACGCAGCTTATTCTGGAGCCACTTTGTGTTTTCGGTTCTCTCCTCGCTCGCTGAAGGAGTGCATGCTTGGTGTGAGTGCGCGGCCCGTGTTGTAAATCTTAAAGTCATTAGCCGATTCCAGGGAAATCTTAGAGCTCCAGCTGTTCCTGCTCAACCCCGACCTGCGGTGATCTGTCGGACGCGCTGCTTGTTCCGAATATACAGATATTTTAGGGACAGACGCTTAAGTCAAGTGCTGGTGGATTTTTGAGTCTTGGAACGAGATGATGTCCTCCCTGTAATATGATCTAGCACTCCTGTGTCTGTGCGTTTTTTCCAACAAGTTGACCGGTGAAAGAAATTATACAGATTAGTGGTGGTTTCGATAGGGAGTCTTCTGTCAGTTCACTCCTCTTTAGCTGTGACAATAGAAATAACTCGGCATCAGACTACGGAGACTGACTGAACCATGCCTGGTCTGATCTGTTACTATTGCAGAGATATATAACGTGATACATATTTAAAAAGTCTTTGTGACGCAATAGCAATATAGAAAAATCTATCTCGACTTTTTTTACTTTGCCTTTATGAAGGAAAGGAAAGAAACTTTAACTCATGGATTGGATCAGTGGACAAAACAGTTCTTTGAGTTCCTTTATTTTGTGTTTCATGTGTTTTTTGTTCTGATTGGTTTTTATGTGTTTCATGCTTGTTATTTAGAAATATGGTAATACTATCCATCCATCCATCCATTTTCTTCCGCTTTATCCGTTGCCGGGTCGCGGGGGCAGCAGTCTAAGCAGAGACGCCCAGACTTCCCTATCCACACACACCTCCTCAAGCTCGTCCGGGGGGACCCCTAGGCGTTCCCAGGCCAGCTGAGAGACATAGTCTCTCCAGCGTGTCCTGGGTCTTCCGCGGGGCCTCCTCCCGGTGGGACGTGCCCGGAACACCTCCCCAGGGAGGCGTCCAGGAGGCATCCGGAACAGATGCCCGAGCCACCTCAACTGGTTCCTCTCGACGTGGAGAAGCAGCGGCTCTACTCCGAGCTCCTCCCGTGTGACTGAGCTCCTCACCCTATCTCTAAGGGAGCGCCCAGCCACTCTGCGGAGGAAGCTCATTTCGACCGCTTGTATCCGCGATCTCGTTCTTTCGGTCATTACCCAAAGCTCATGACCATAGGTGAGGGAGGGAACGAAGATTGACCGGTAAATCGAGAGCTTTGCCTTTCGGCTCAGCTCCCTCTTTACCACAACGGTCCGATACAGCGACCGCATCACTGCGCACGCTGCACCGATCCGCCTGTCAATCTCACGCTCCATTCTTCCCTCACTCGTGAACAAGACTCCGAGATACTTGAGCTCCTCCACTTGAGGAATGACCTCTCCACCCACCTGAAGAGGGCAGGGCATGGTCGAGCACCATGGCCTCGGATTTGGTGGTGCTGATTCTCATCCCAGCCGCTTCACACTCGGCTGCAAACCACCCCAGTGCATGTTGCAGGCCCTGGTTCGTTGGAGCCAACAGGACAACATCGTCCGCAAACAGCAGAGATGAAATCCTGTGGTCCCCGAACCGGACCCCCTCCGACCCCTGGCTGCGCCTAGATATTCTGTCCATAAATACAGTGAACAGAACCGGTGACAAAGGGCAGCCCTGTCGGAGGCCAACATTCACCGGGAACAGGTCTGACTTACTGCCGGCAATGCGAACACAGCTCTGGCTCCGGTCATACAGGGACCGGATGGCCCTCAGCAGAGGACCCCCGACCCCGTACTCCCGGAGAACCCCCCAAAGGACACCCCGGGGAACACAGTCGAACGCCTTCTCCAAATCCACAAAGCACATGTGGACAGGTTGGGCGAACTCCCATGAACCCTCGAGTATCCGATGGAGAGTATAGAGCTGGTCCAGTGTTCCGCGACCGGGACGAAAACCACACTGCTCCTCCTGGATCCGAGATTCGACCATCGGCCGTAGCCTCCTCTCCAGTACCTTGGAGTAGACCTTACCGGGGAGGCTGAGGAGTGTGATCCCACGATAATTGGAACACACCCTCCGGTCCCCCTTCTTATAGAGAGGGACCACCACCCCGGTCTGCCACTCCATTGGCACCGCCCCCGATCGCCACGCGATGTTGCAGAGACGTGTCAGCCAAGACAGTCCTACAACATCCAGAGACTTTAGATAATCAGGGCGGATCTCATCCACACCCGGAGCCTTGCCACCATGGAGGCTACCAACCACCTTGGTGACCTCAGCCAGGGAGATGGATGTATCCGCCCCAGCATCCTCAGCCTCTGCCTCTGAGACAGAGGACGTGACGGGGGGATTGAGGAGAACCTCAAAGTATTCCTTCCACCGCCCGACAATATCCCCCGTCGAGGTCAGCAGCTCTCCACCCGCACCGTACATGGTGTTGGCAAAGAACTGCTTCCCCCTCCTGAGGCGCCGGACGGTTTGCCAGAATTTCTTTGAGGCCGACCGATAGTCATGCTCCATGGACTCTCCGAACTCCTCCCAGTCCCGGGTTTTTGCCTCTGCAACAGCCCGGGCCGCGGCACGCTTGGCCTGCCGGTACTGGACAGCTGCCTCAGGAGTCCCCCGAACCATCATGGCTCGATAGGACTCCTTCTTCAGCCTGACAGCTTCCCTTACTGCCGGTGTCCACCACCGGGTTCGGGGGTTGCCGCCGGGACCAGCACCAGAGACCTTGCGACCACAGCTACGGGCCGCCGCATCGGCGATTGAGGCAGAGAACATGGTCCACTCGGACTCCATGTCCCCCTCCTCCACCGGGACCTGGGAGAAACTCTCCCGGAGGTGTGAGTTGAAAGTCCGTCTGACAGGGGGCTCAGCGAGACGTTCCCAGCAGACCCTCACTATACGCTTGGGTCTACCAGGTCTGACCGGCTTCTTCCCCTGCCAGCGGATCCAACTCACAACCAGGTGATGATCGGTTGACAGCTCCGCCCCTCTCTTTACCCGAGTGTCCGAGACACGCGGTCGAAGGTCAGATGATACGACAACAAAGTCGATCATCGACCTCCGGCCTAGGGGGTCCTGGTGCCACGTGCACTGGTGGACACCCTTGTGCTCGAACATGGTGTTCGTGATGGACAAACTGTGACTGGCACAGAAGTCCAACAACTGAACACCGCTCGGGTTCAGATCAGGGGGGCCGCTCTTCCCGATCACCCCTCTCCAAGTGTCACTGGCGTTTCCCACATGGGCGTTGAAGTCCCCCAGGAGAATAACGGAGTCCCCGGGCGGTGCACCGTCCAGTACCCCTCCCAAGGACTCCAAGAAGGCCGGGTACTCTGCACTGCTGTTAGGCCCGTAGGCCGTCACAACAGTGAGAGACTTGTCCCCCACCCGGAGGCGGAGGGACGCGACCCTCTCATTCACCGGGGAGAACTCCAACACGTGGCGGCTGAGATGGGGGGCAATGAGAATGGCCACCCCAGCTCGCCGCCTCTCCCCGCGGGAAACACCAGAAAAGTGGAGCGTCCAACCCCTCTCAAGGAGTTGGGTTCCAGAGCCCAAGCTGTGTGTGGAGGTGAGGCCGACTATCTCTAGTCGGTATCGCTCAACCTCCCCCACAAGCTCGGGCTCCTTCCCCCCCAGTGAGGTGACGTTCCACGTCCCGAGAGCCAGCTGTTGTGTGTGCGGACTGGGTCGTCGAGGTCTCCGCCTTCGACTGCTGCCCAGTCCTCTCTGCACCATGCCACCACGGACCCCTCTGCAGGTGGTGGGCCCACAGGAGGGACTGCCCACGTCGTCCATTCGGGCTGAGCCCGGCCGGGCCCCGTGGGCTAAGGCCCGGCCACCAGGCGCTCGCCTACGAGCCCCGACCCCAGGCCTGGCTCCAGGGTGGGGCCCCGGCTGCGCCATGCCGGGCGACGTCACTGGTTTCGTATGAGTGCTGTCCATGGTGTCTTCTGGACTGCTCTTTGTCTGACTCGTCACCCGAGACCTGTCTGCCATGGGAGGCCCTACCAGGGGCATGAAGCCCCAGACAGCATAGCTCCCAGGATCATCCGAGTACTCAAACTCCCCCACCACGTTAAGGTGGCAGTCCAGGGGGGAGTATGGTAATACTATATATTTGTTATCTTGGACCTGTGTATGGGTTAGCGTGCGTTCTTGTTTATTATTAAAGTAGAATAAAAATATATATCCCAGTAATGTATTTTAAATGGACTACAACAATAAAATGCCTGAGCTGACATAATAACCACCGAATCAAGCCTTGGTTAGCTGTGGAAGTTACTATTGTATCATATCACAATGAAATGTGATAAGTCTGTTCATTATTGCAAAGAAAATGTATGCACAGACAAAATTGAGCTCCCAACTTTATTTTAACATCCTAAATTATTATACATTTGTCGATATAGTTATTAGCCTTTTAGTTATTGCCCTAAATGGGCGACTTTAACCTCTTAAAAAAGCCAAGCAATATTATTTATCAAAATTCAAATCCAAGCATTTCACAGTAAACGTAAAAACACTCAAATGAATCAGAAGTTTGATAGTAAGGTGTTTATACAGATGAATTAATGAAGGCACAGTTATTGAGGGTTTCTTCCAAAGCCACATTCTGGCTCTTTCTCTGCAGTTCTGTGTGTTCTGCCTGTGGTTTGGTTGGATTAATATGTGCGTGTTTATGTGCACAGTAGTTTATAAATTGCCACCATTTCCTGATTTTCATCTTCTCACAAAGATCACATTCATACCCATAATTAATGCTTAATATGTTCTCTTTGGCGTAAACACAAACTGCATCCCCACATTTTGACTTTGCATTCCTCCCAAACAAGCAATTTCATTATGATCCACTTTCGTAACATATCATTTCAACAGAACTGGAAAAAGATTGGGGAATGAAATGTCTATATTTTCAAACTGATGAGACGTCTAAAAGAATCGATGATAATTTCCATGTGTCTGTTCTGCTTCCCAGTGCCCAGGCTTTGCAGACCATGTTCCAGCTGATGACCCCAAAGCAGATGTTCGAGCACTTACGGGGCTACGACCAGGTTTCCCACATCAACTGGAACGAGGAGAAGGCCGCAGCCATACTGGAGGCCTGGCAGAGGAAGTACTCCGAGGTGAGCCCCAATCCACTACAAAATGGGTCTTTGCTGGTTCAGAGAAGGAGACACTGCAAGTTCCCCAAATTTTTTACTGTTCCTCTTCCCTCTAAATCAGAGGTGTCAAACTCATTTTTATCAGGGCCTGAAAAAAAGAAATATAGGAACTGGTTGAAGGCGGAAAGAATAGATGGGATTTATTTTTGTTATAATTGTTGTTTACATTATGAAGGTATTTTGACATGACTTTAATGTGACTTGAAGCTGCACTAACTGACTTTGGGATTTTGAAGCCGCGGACTCGCTGGCCTCTCTCTTTCTGCTCCCCTCCCCGCACCCACGAAGCCATCGCCCCCCACACACACCCACTGTTGGGACGGAGTTAGCGTCTCCCAATATGGATAATACACGAATATGGATTTGTACGTGGATGGCGTGACCATAGAACGATAGAACCGGGAAGAGCGGAGGAACGGGGCTTTCTTTTGGATGGCTGTCTCGCTGTGTAAGCAGTAACCGGTGACGAAGAGACGAAGCTTCAGGTTAGCTCCTCGGCTTGTTGTGCTAACTCAGCCGTCTATGCTAACGGACCTGTAGATTTCTCACGAAAGTGGGGGCCAGTGGTCCGTTGTGATTGGTCACAATCCGCGACCCGAAACACATTCTCTTCCTTGTTTCATCAAAACTCGATCTAAAATATAATGTCACGCCAGCACAAATCTGCGCTACTTTTTCTTCAAAATGATGTATATCCCAATGCACTACATGGACATGGATAGCATTTTCGTAATGAATACAAAAATAAAGTCAGTTAGTGCAGCTTTGAGTTTCGTTATTATTTCCTGGTTGATATTTCTTAAAACTAAATATGTTTATGGTTTAGATTTAACCAAAACTGGACCAAATATAACGTTAAACAAATTGTTATATATTTAACGATTTAACTTCTAATGATGTGTCTAATTTTTGAACAAATAAAATGTGGATGTTTTCCTGAGAAAATAGATTATTCTCAACATGCCTGACCATCAATGTTGCAAGTTATTATTAATTGATAATTATTTTAAGGGCCAGTAAAATCTGTATTGCGGGCAACTGTCAGAGATCATCCCGAAATACCATCACATCCCATCTATGCACCAAATTCAGCTCCAGTATCTTTTGCAAAAGTCTGCCTACAAACACACAAAGACAAAAAATTGGTACTTGAGTTGGGCATAAGTTTGTCTTGATTTTGGTACGCACATTTTGACTTGTATAGGAACCGAATGGAAAGGTTTGCCAATGGAACACACGGCTTGTATTTCAACCACTAGTACAATATTGGTATCAGATTTCAGTGCAGATATAGGAAAATATATTTGTCTCGAGTCTCAGTTCAATGTTATCGATTTAAGAGGTATCTGTAACTGATGATATAGGGGAGGGGCGACAGTAGCTCAATTGATAGACCATTGGCCTTGGGGCCTGAAGGTCGCAGGTTCGAACCCACCTCGAGACCTACTTTTCGACTCCAACTGATGTCTGCTGTCATTGTGTCCTTGGGCAAGATACTTAACTCCACTTTGCCTGAAGCCCCTGCTGAAAGATCTCAGCTCCTGTGGACTCACCACCTGCAGGAGGATCAGTGAGGGGCTGGTGCTATGTGTACTGAGTGGCATCACTGACTGCCACCCCCCCGACCCAGAAATGGATTAAGGGGAAGAAAATGGATGGATGGATAGATGATATAAGTAAGTCATCTTTATTTTTAAAGCGCCATTTTCAGACCACAAAGCACTTTATATTTGTCTACATAGGTGTGTACACAGGAGCCACATGCCAAACCTATCGTACATGTATTAGTGGTAGGGGAAACCAGAGCACCCGGAGGAAACCTACGCAGGCACACACAAAGCACACGCGCTAACCACTGCGCCACTGTGCCGGGATAACAACCCAACTTCGTATGATTAACACTTAAAACTATGACACAGTTTTAGACATGCTATATTCACTTCTTTAGCTATCAGTTCATATTGGGCTTCAGAAGACAATGTGAGGCAAAGTTTTGATATCCAAGTAAGTAATTGCTTCGATTTATAAAACTTTTATGACAAGAAAATACGACTGTACTTTTTCACCCTTTTTTGTAGTAACTAAAATATACCAGGTTCAAAGACTGGCCCCTGCCCTTTTGCTGAGTGTCTCTCCCCATTCTTCACTGCCACTTCAAGCTAAACCTACATTTGACCATATTTATAAAAAAAAAAAATTTCAAAACCTCTCCTCTCATTGCACAGTAAGAGGCCACAAAGTCACATGTCTGGAATACATTAAGAGCTGGACTCACACTCATACACGCACACACACGGACACACAAACTCACAAACACGCTGAAAAGATTCACGCACAATCACTTTTCCAGCTGTGGCCCCATTGGTGGCTCATGTGTGACATCATCTGGTCTTTGTTTTGGGGGCCCCAGCCTCTGTTTGACATGGCGTGACCCAGTGTGTGTGTGTGTGTGCCGCCATTCATCTCTGAGGTTCAAGGAAAAGGGAAAGATCTTAAACGCCACACTGTATTTACTTTGAGATAAAACCTGCTATTAAATCAATGCTTTCCTCTCCTGAGTCCTGAAACGTTATAGTCGTCATCTTAAGTTGTATTTGGTGTTCAACTTTAGCATGGTACATAGAATCTTCTAGAACAGGCATGTCAGACTCATTTTTGTCAGGGGCCAAATTTAAAAACGAGCTGGTTGGGACCAAAAGTATTGTTTATGAGTTTGTAAATTATTTTCTGGTAGGTTTGGATTTGACCACAACTGGGCCAAATATCACGAAGAGATGTGTTTGAAGACTGACAGTTTAATATAAAAATGTAATCTTTGGCCTAACTTAACTTCGAATTACATTTTAGTTGTAATAATAATAATAATGCATCAGTTTTATATAGCGCTTTTTTGGACACTCAAAGACGCTTTACATGTCATTATTCATTCACTCCATACACAGTGGTGATAAACTACTACTGTAGCCACAGCTGCCCTGGGGCACACTGACAGAAGCGAGGCAACCAGTATGTGCCATCGACCCCTTCGACCACCACCAACCATTCACACACACACCAGACTCATTCTAGGCAATGGGGTTGAAGTGTCTTGCCTAAGGACACAACGGAAGTTTGGCACTTTACAGCCGCAGCCGCCCCACTGTGGCATCAGGTGTTCCCAGAGGTTAAGTGTCTTGCCAAGGACACAACGACAGCAGACCTCAGTGGGAGTTGATGGTGAAAGCCTTGAGGTGGGCTCAAACCCACGACCTTCTGGCTCAAAGGCCAATGCTCTACCAACTGAGATACTGTCGCCTCCAACATTAACATTTTAGAACAGAATCAATCATATGGTTGCTTTCCTGATGTTACTCTTCTCTTGCTGCTAGTTAATATAATAATGATAATTGAAAATAATTTCAGGGGCCACTAGAAATGGTCTCGTGGTCCGGATTTGGCCCTAGGGCCTGAGTTTGACAGGCCTGTTCAAGATTATCAATTTTCAGTTGCCATATGAACAAATGAGTCAGTCCGGTTTTAACTTAAATGTAAAAGTTTTTTGCTTTTTATAAATAACAAAATAACAGAAAGAGTCTAGTTGAAGCAAAATAGGACACATCAGACCATAACATGCCGTCTTCCTCTTATTAGAAAACTGGCCTGTCACTGATCAACGCTTTGGGATGATTGACTGAGTGAGGGTGGCACTCGCTTGCATGTGTCATACACCCATGGTCCATTCTGCAGTTCTGTGGCAATTTTGCAGTTGTTTGTATTATGGATGATTTTATCGCACTGAAAAGAATATAAAACCAGCTCGCAGATCTGATAACCTGTCTAACCTGTAATCTGTCTCCATGTATGTTATAAAGGATGTGCATCAATCTCTCTTGCTCGTGTAACATTGCAACAATTTATTCTTGAGTGAAGCAAAGAGGAAAATAAAAAGGTCACTCCTCTTATCCTCATCTACTAAAGGGATATAATGACTAATCCACTATAAATTCCCCTAAATATTCACCTCTGGTTCTAATTTCACATGTGTGATTGATTTGAGGAGGAGCTGCCCTCGTTCACACCATTCTGAGCACAGTCCGTTTACATGCATTATAGAGTGGGATGTCGTAATATTAGGCTTTAATACACATTCAAATGCTGTATCAACCCGGGACAACAGTGGGAATGCTTGGCAAGTTTTTTATATTTTAGGACAATGAAAATCAAGACAGACAAACAGAAATATAAGCTTAACATGAAAATCATAAAGCGAGGACAAAGGGACAAAGACGCCAATAAAAAAAAAAAAGAATGATGCATCTGTTATATATAGGGCTGTTTTGGACACTCAAAGACGCTTCACATGTCACTCCATACACAGTGGTGATAAACTACTATTGTAGCCACAGGTGCCCTGCAGGTGTCCCTCAAGTCACAGAAGGTCACGCAACAGACTTGTTTTAAGAAATTGCTTTGGTTCCAAGTTCATTTTAAACTGAGGACTTATATTATTGTCCCCAAGGACAATTCCTTCTCTTTAAGAATTTCAGATTGCAACATTTAAAAAAAACTTAGCAACACTTTATGCAAATTATTGTCCCTGAAGAAGATGACAAAGTGTGGGATCGTGTCTTTAATTCAGACAGAAGACATGTTTTATTGTAGATGGTAGACGCACGAACAAGAACACAAACAAGGATGTAAGAAAATGCAAGTGGTGATATACAGCAGAGGAATGAACACCGTCCAATCAGCTTTCGCCGCGATGCCAGTAGCTTGGCCTTCAGAAATCAAAACAATGGAATAGTACTGGCTCCTGCAAATGTTAGAATGAAGAGTTTGAACTTTAACCACAGTTGCGTCAAAGTGTAATGAAATCTCACATCCCTTTTTATAAGCTAATTCACCTGACCTAAATACAACAGTTTGGTCATTTATATTATTTTGCTGACCAAAATACAGCTATAAATGGCCATAGAGTTACATAACTCCGAGGTAATGGGGAAAAGGGTGATTCGTTCTGACCCACCAGTCTTTGGTCAAAAAAGTGTATTTTTTCTCAATGGGAATGTCCGTGTCTTGTCTCCAGGCTGTCCTGAAGAGCGTGGCAGAAAACTCATCTCAGAAGGTTTTGACGTTCACAACCACCACTTTGGAAGACATCCTCAGGTCCTTCTCCGACGTCAGTGTGATCCGTGTGGCCAGCGGTTACCTCCTCATGGTATAAGAACTCTTACCATAACTGACTGACAGTAGTTTGAGTAGATGTGACAAAATCAATTTTTTCATAATTAACTCTTTAATTTTCACTCCTTGAAGAAAGCAATGTATTTTTTTTTTCTTTTTGGGATTTTGGGACACTAGATCCCTATTTTTTACTTTTTATTATAGGCCTTTACCAAGCAGTAGAGATGCAGTTTGATGGTAAAAGTGCCTAAAACTAAGATAAATGTCCCAAAGAGGTGTAAGTACATATTGTGACTCCAAAGGTAATCCACCACTAAAGGCTAAAGCTGTAATCGAATTAAGGGGAAGGAGCCAAAATACAAGACTGAAAAAAAACAAAAAGATTTTATTAATTATTTATTTTATTAAAACTAACATAGATTAAAACTTTTCATAGATAGTTATTAAATCATGAAGTTTGAATAATGGAATGACTTGTTGAAGCTTTCGTCTATGAACGTCTATCTAGAGTTTTGGATCATAAAGTCAAACATATCTGAATTTTGGTAATCTCCGCTATAAAACAAAATAAATGTTCAAAAACGTTGTGATGTCACGTGAAGGCAGAGTATGAACGTGCATGTCCTGTCGTCCTCCGCAGCTGGCCTACGCGTGCCTGACCATGCTGCGCTGGGACTGTGCAAAGTCCCAGGGGGCCGTGGGGCTGGCCGGGGTCCTGCTGGTCACTCTGTCTGTGGCGGCCGGACTCGGACTCTGCTCTCTCCTCGGCATCTCCTTCAACGCTGCCACAACACAGGTACAAATACATACTTTTATATATATATATATATATATATATATATCTATATATATATATATATATATATATATATATATATTTATAGTTATAGTTATTATTATAGTTATTTTAGTTTATAGCTTTGACCATTATTGATTTTAGTTTTCCACCATTTGTCTCTTTAACGTTTTTCAATATTTTAACATTTTTGTGTTTCATGCTTTTATTATAGGGCCAGAAATCAATTACATCAAATTAATTAAATAATCCTGATCCAAATGTATTTAATGCATTCAAATCAGGCCTTCAATTATTGCTTTAAAGCCCTATGTATACAGAATTTAGAATAACATTTTTAAAAATTAACGTGGTTAGTTAACAATAATTTGCCCAGCTTTTTACATATATATTCATGTATTTATTATGTAATAAATATTTTTCTTTCTTTTATTCAGACTCAAATAGGTCCATATAACATTATACAAATGGAGGCAAACAACACCCAAACATACAATATTTCCAAAATTCTATAAAGACAGTTTCTCCAATGCCTCCAATATACTTCCATGCCATAGATAAAAAATATACGTGTTATACCAATGCCTCATTTATTCAATTATCTGTCAGGTTTTGCCCTTTCTGGCCCTTGGCGTGGGGGTGGATGACGTCTTCCTCCTGGCCCACGCCTTCAGCGAGACGGGACAAAACAAGAGGATCCCTTTTGAGGTAAGGAGCCGCAACCATCAGCCTCCCATCCGGCCTCTGCCACCCCTGTCCTCCCTTATCTCCAGCTCAGAGGAATGTGTGAAAGCAAAGCCTGTCCGTGCCTGTGAAGTTACATCAAACAAACTGTGTGCCACCCACCCGCCGCTTATCTAAACCAAGGAGGACTTTTACTGCAGATAGAAGTCAACAAGTGCGATCAGAGAGCGGCTGGTGGGTGGGCCAAATAGCTCACCATTGCATTGTGTGAATAGGAGATTTTATTTCTATAGCACATTTCCTACAGGACTCCGACTTAGTGCACGCCACAAGGAAAGTGTTACAAGGAAAATTATATAAACCTATATATAGTAATATAAACTCACTGCATGCTCTATGTCAAACGGATAATGAAAGGAAAAGGATAACGGCACTGACTACAGCAGGGGTGTTACGCTTAGGGTAGACTTGCCCATTGAACTGTTTTGACTGGATTTTAATCAATCAATCTTTATTTGTAGAGCGCTTTTTCTACACAAAATGCTTCATAATCCACATCACACAAGGCACAAATCATCACATAAAACAAACACCATTGAAAACATAATTAAACACAGTTTGAGCTGTGAGAAATAGTATGATTTGTCCATATGGATTTACATTTGACAAAACTCAAGTTACCTCACCAACTACATCTCTTATCATTGCGACACAATCATAAGTAAATGTACAAAAAACAGGTTAAACAATGTTTTTGCCATTTGTAGTTAAACCACATTGGAAAAACTGTGCAAGACTTCCCCTGCCTGCACCAACATTCCTATATTGTTGGTGCTAAAGTTGGCTGGATGACACTGAATTTGTGCTTATACTTTCAATGGGTTAGCAAGTCAGAGGGCCACATAACATGACACTGAGGGCCGTATCTGACTCTCGGGCCTTGGTTTGGATAGACCTGGTCTAAAGATAAGAAAGTCAAAACAAGTGAATCTTTAGTTTAATCTTACTGTAAATGATAATATATCATTTGGAAAAGCATTCAATTTACAAGCGGCACAATGGGAGAAAGCAGGAAGATGATACCAAATTTGATGTGACAGAGATTAAAAAACTGTTTTGAGAACGAGGATTTAGACTAAAGGATTTTATTACATAGTTTATTTTTTGTGTGTTCAAACTGCAGTACCCCAACTTTATGGCTCTGTATGTGATCATACCAAACAAATTTGATTGCGGAAGGAGAATAGTTTATTTGTGAGGCCTCGTGTTGATGTTTATGCTCTATGGATCACAGTGACTTTTCATGTGCAGAGGGGGAAAACACAGACATGATTTTGCTTGTTTTTAGTCCCTGCAACTCCCCCCTCACACGCTCTTGTCTCCCTCTCTCTCTGTCTCTCTCTCTCACTCTCTCTCTCTCACTTTCTCTCTGCTTTTGTGGTGCTGAGATGAAAACTAAACCGAGTTGAACGTGATCCATCCTGCCTGACACATACAAACACTCCTTGTGTGGTCCTGCTTGTCTCCACATATTAATAACTTGAGAGGTGCTATGTCGCCTGCCAGATCATATATTGTAGTTGTTGTTTTGAAGTTGAGAAAAATGTAGATTTAATATAACGATAATATTAACAGTTGTGCAAAGCCGGGAAGTTAAGGTGATTCATATAAAAAAACAACAGAGTATAATCTGTGGAGTAAGATACGATTTATTCACACAGATTTTTCCAAAGTCTTATTTTTCAAACAAAGGAATTAAAGATTTCAAAAAGTCTTACATCTGGCGTCATAGGTCTTAAAGTATTTGTTTTTATCTCATTGGAATTAGATGCAAGTTAAAACTGAGGTTCCTAAAATGTATCTTAACTAGCTTCAGTTGTCAGTAGTGTTTTGGCCTTATTATTAGTCACTTGTTTAGATGTGATTATTCAGACAGAAATGTAAACAAGAGAGCACCACCTTCACTCTGTCAATCAGCTTATAGAATCAAATAGTCCCAGGGCTCTTTCTTACAAGTATGAAAAAGAAAACACATGTATTACTAAAAGAAGATACTCCAGATCAAAATACTGTATATTTTATCGTCTTGTTTGTACATTTGAGGAAAGAGTTATGCTTGTCTACATGAAACTCAATATATAAGCAAAATGAAATGAATGTCATGCCTGTATTGTCTGTCTGCAACTGTCACACTGGCCATTGATGACTGTACTTACTGTATCTCTCAATCTCAGTTCAAATGTCCATTCCTATTACAGTACCGTTAAAGCATCTACCACTTGCCTTTGTTTTGGCTCATGTGTGTGTATGTGTGTGTCCCACAGTGGGGAACACACACGTACACACAAACACACACATATTTAAATAGTGCTTCTTTAAGTTCAGCTGTAAAATCCACAAAACACTTTAAATCATAATATTTAAAGATAACATCAAGCTCACTTGATAGAGATTCAGGCCAATACTCACTGTGATGCTGTAGTTTGAGTTGAGAAAATATAGACTAGCAGGATATGGTCATAGATAAAACTGACAAAGAGACAAGAAGTCATCACAGTACTATTATTGCACTAACATTACAGTATTGCACATGATTGCAGTATTTGCAGATCAATGACATGATCTCTAAATACTGCAATCATGTTCTCGTTGTGCAGTCTGGCAGCAGCAGGAAAGAAGGGCCTACACAACCTCTCCTTCACACGGCAAGGGTGGAACAGTCTGTCACTGAAACTGCTCTCCAGGGCAGACAGAGTGTCCTGTGTCTCTTTTGTCCCGATGAAAAAAATGTTTTGCAGCTCCGAGTAGAGATTTCATTCATCTTAAGACCTTGTAAATCACTAGACTGCTTCTCCTTTGTACTTCAAACGGAGGTAGGCACAGGGATTACGAGAGAGCACTTGAGGGCTTCCAGAATTTCTACAATCACTGTCAATCACCTCAGACTTACGATAATTGTTCATAATCTAAAGTATTGCACCGTCGCCGTCGGCTACACCCAGAATAATTGCGTTTCATTGCTTTGTCTATAAGTCTATAACGCCAGTCTGCCATAGAAAGTTCTTAAGACCCGGCCTGATCCCTCCCACTGTGTATGTTTTTGATTTATCTCCTGTCATAAAATCTGCAGCGTTTTAATACTGTAACGACCACTTTTCAAAACAGTGCGTGTGCCATACTGTCCGCCTGCAAGACACTTGATATGTGGCTGTTTTTAACGGCTGTTTACATTGGTTTAGGTTACACACTCATTTTCTTGTCATATTATGTTTTCACTGGCTTAATTTGAATCGTAAAAACAGTTTAGCGATCTAAAGTAAGGGTTGCAACATCTATTAAGATCCTGATTTAAAAGGATAATTTGACTTGTTTTCTGCTAATGGTTTGAGAGTAATTTTATTTTTTCTTTACTGTGTTCGGACTTGGAAAAAAAAAAAATTATAACTATATGTATGCTATTGCTTAATTTAGATACTTGCAAAGGCCGACCCTGATTGGCATGGCCTGTAACAAGCAATATCTGAAGACATTTGCTATTTTTATGTCCACAGGATCGAACCGGGGAGTGTCTTAAGAGAACCGGAGCCAGCGTGGCCCTCACCTCCATCAGCAATGTCACAGCCTTCTTCATGGCGGCCCTCATCCCGATTCCGGCGCTACGAGCCTTTTCCCTCCAGGTATTTAAATCTATTATTATAACGATAGTCGTCAAAGGCATTGATAGCAAATCAAACACTTAATTGAGACGTCATCTGGAAATTGTTGTAACCTTTTAAAGAAATAGATTTTAGCAGAGGCTTCAAAAATATTGAAGTTGTAATGGAAAGCTGGCCACCAGGAGCTAAACACATACAACAATCTGTGATGGGTTGTGAAGAAATAGAGAGTCAAATATAAATGTCTTTTCTACTTTTACGCATTCTGGTTTTGAGATTATGTCTTCTGCAAACACAATACCCAGGCCTTTTTTGTAAAAAGCAGGTTTGAGTCTGTTCAAAATGTCCTTAATTCTAGGAAAATACTATTTCTATGAGGATAACATTAAATCACTCCGAAAAAACTGTATAGACATTGTTAATACGTTAAATTGCTCTTCTATCTCCAGAGGCACATTTCCAGCAACCATCACTCAATTCTAATAGTACGCAGTGTTAGCTAATCGTGTTCGAAGACTAATTGAAATAATTGTGCAATTTTGTTTGCATATGAAGCCAACTGGGAGATTTCTGGAAAAGCATCCAGTTGGCTATGTGAAATACGATGCACACAATCATTCAGATTTAGGGCTGTTTTGTGCTTGCCAGGCTGGCATCACCTCATGCCTCTGCTCAGTCTCATTTTACTCCTGCTACTGGGTCAGGTATTTCAGAAACAAGGGGAGCTCTGAGAACCAGGAAGTACAATCGGCCAATCAGAGCCAGTTTGTGGTTCAACAAAGCAGTAAAAGAAGCGGTCGTGATGGATAAGATAAGATAGTTTTTTATGTTTAAAAAGGCCAAAATGGAGGATTTAAAGCCAGAAAAAAAGAGGAAATTTGTGGAGTTCGAAAGACGTTATTGCCCTGCGTCTTACATAGGTCACAACCAAACAGCAGCAATTGACTAAAGCAAAATGGAGCAAACCAAAAGTTACATTTGAAAAACGGAATGGCAATAATGAACTCCCCTAAACTTCAAGATCAATGTTTGTTTAAATCCCCACGACAATTTTGTGTTCAAGGATGTTTCATTGCTGGTCTATTATGTGTAACAAAATATGCGTACTTGGAAATTCTTGGAAAGCTTGATAAGTTGTATTATCCAAGTGGGAGGTTTGAAAAGCAGTTGTCGGTAGGCTGCAGCTTTAAAACTCTTTATACATATTGATGAATGATGCCTGCTTAAGTGTGAAATCTGCACTTGTGAGACATGTGTGTGTGCGTGTTTGTGTGTGTGTGTGTGTGTGTGTGTGTGTGTATGTTTGTGTGTGTACTACGCACTCAAGCTGCTTTTTTTTTACAATATGAGCATGTGGGGATGGACGGCTCTGGTGCAGAGAGACTGTCAAACATGATCCATTTACCTCATGGGTCTAATCCGGAGTACACCCTGCCCTCTCCCCCCCACCCCAAAAAACACACACTTAAACACACTCGCACATAGCATGCATTCCTCACTCGCCGTTTTATTTTGCACAGAGTTGCCTTAGACACACTGACAGCCATTTTTATAGAGCAAAGCGGCCTCCAACCACCAAGCTCCTCTCACACATCAACATCAAGCACTTCCTGTACTTGACTCCTCTCTGGATTCAACGCTGCGTTTCCTAATCGTTCCTCTTTCTTCCCTCTTGCATCACCGCAAAAGGCTGAAGAATGGTGTCCAGATAAGACCCCGAGCGCAAGAACACACACATTCATGTACGCGGGACAGATGCGATGATAAATCTCTCCTCGCCAGGGTCAGCTCGCGGTCACTCCCTGTGCGTGTGTGCGCGTCTCCTGGATGTTAGTGGGCCAGTTGAGAATTAATTGTGTTCCTGTGCTTCTAGGCCTACTTCGGTGTCTCCTTCCAAAAGTATGTCTCCGTGTTGTTGACTGGAACTTAGTGGAGGAATGAGGGAGGCCCAGGGGGAGTGTTCTCTGCGTCCGCACTTTTGACCAGAAGTTTGAGCAGTCCATTCAAATATTCAGGCTTTGTGTTCATGTTGAGATGTGCTTCATCAATCTGAAAGAATATATGTACTTATGTCAATTTGGAGAATTTGTCAGCGATTACAAAGGCCTTGCGAAAACCCTATAACTCGGTCAGTCCAAGTTAATTAGTTTGAGAGTATATAAACCCAGGTGTGACTATTATGTTACAAAACCAGTCTATGTGGCATAACTGGATCCAACCATTTCTACTCCATTCACGCAGGTATGTAACCTGTGTAAACTGGATCCTGAGACAAGGCCAGCACATGCATTTAAGAGCACAGGAAAAAGCCATGCTTGTCTTAGAAACACACGTGTTTAGAGGTATTGGAAGTTGATACAGTAGATAGTGGATAGATATATACATAGATAGAATGATTAGTACTTTATTGTCAGACACAAGGGTACATTCAAGGCTTGAGGGTACAAAATAAAAAAGGTACAAAATAACCCTTATCCCTGCTTGCTTTATACTTACTTGCGAATAAAACAGAGGTTGGACTGTACATTTTTGTACTCAAATCAATCAAAATTGATTTGGTATGATAGAATGGGACTATGAAGAGGCTGGCTGTCTGATTTAACCATTTTGAACCTGGACCTATTTCTAATACAAAGCCATTTAGATCAATATTACAGCCTATGAAGAATCAAATGCAAAATAATGATACTCCAATTTAACTCCAATGAGAGGACCTCCACGCTGTCGTTTGCTGACTATTGTATTAAGAGCGAACAGTATATAACAATATGCGAAAAGATATGACGGAGACTGGAGATGTTTTCACAGAGTTGCATATTTTGATATTTTTTTGCAGTGTGAAAGAGTGCTTTCTGCTCATCACCTCCGGCTGTGGGCCTCTGCTCCTTGGGTGGTCCGGAGTATGAGTGTATGTGTCTGTGTGTGTGCAAGTGTGTGCCTTATGTGTGTAGTAGTGCAGTGGTCTGGCAGCCACGCAGCATCCAGATTGTCCTCCAGGCTGGGCCCCAAGCTCACCCCAACCCCCAGCCTCCTTGGAATACTTAACCACAACACTGTACCGCCTTCCATTACACACAAACTGCTGCAGAGGACAGGCTTCTCTCTGCACTTCTCACAATTTGAACCCAACCGGAGCAATTTAGAAAGTCCTGGGAGAGTAGAAGGAGTTAAATGCTTTATATTTTGTTTCTGTCTTGTGAAGCAATTATGTGTGTGTGATTAGACGTAAATGAGATCACATGGTTGTACGCTATTTGTGCAGATATTTGAGCTTCACATACAGAATGTACAGTTGTGCTTTGAAAGTTGAGACAAAGCAGTTGGGGAGGGGAGGGGGTTGTGCTTTTTTTCAGTCACTGAGTGGTTGTGTGATGCAGTTTTTTGTCGCATAAATGTGTTTTTTTGATGACACCAAACCAAAACTTGCGTAAACCTACTTAAATTACTTTTCTGTGGCGCACACAGAGACGGTAACACAACTTTTCAGACCGGTTTGATTTTGATTCTAATGCTTTGTACGCTTTGAAGCCTTTTGAGGTGGTTGTGGGTGAGGTTCTTTATCCTTACTGATGGGAAAGCTGCCCATTCCTCTTGCCAAAAAACCTCCAGTTTCTGTAAATTCTCTGGCCTTGGATGAACGGCACTTTTGAGATCCCCAGATCGGCTTAATGATGTTATGTAATGATAATAAAAGGCACGTTTACTTTGACAATATTCACACAACCACTAACAATGAGCAGGAATTTTTTTTTTTTGAGTTATTAGTAGTCTCTAAATGTATTGTGTGATGTGTTTCAGGCTGCGGTGGTGGTCGTCTTCAACTTCGCCATGGTGCTCCTCATCTTCCCCGCCATCCTGAGCATGGACCTGTACAGACGAGAGGACAGACGCTTTGACATCTTCTGCTGCTTCTACAGGTGCGTCCAAAAAAGTCCTATTTTTACCACTGAAAAACAGAAAAAAGGGCAATATTCTCAGCTCTTCCAATTGTGTTTCTGCTTCTGTCATCTCCATTTGACACCACGCAGTCTTGTCTTGCTTGAAACCAGAAATAGCAGTAAGAAAATTTAGAACAGATCAGACAAACTCGCCCTCTTTTATGTCTGCATCTAATCTTTCTAATCAGAAGGAATTACAGATACTTGCCTCTTTCAAAATCAAGGTCCTAATCCGGCTTACTCAAAACCCAATTACTCTTTTTAACTGCACCAGTCCTCCACTGCCAGTCGCGGCATGTTTGTTGGCACAGCGTCCGGACAGATGTGCGCTCGTTCTAATAAATTCCCCCACTCTTAAGGGCTATATAGTTCCTACAGCCGGCATAGGTTCCATTCACACAAATAACACCAAGCTGATATCATTTTACTGCACTTTGGCTATGTCCAATATGTTTCCATTTGCTCTATGTAGCGCTGCTCTTTTATGCAGGGATTAAACATAAGCACTCTTGAAAAAATATGTAATTCCACATGATGAAAAATGGGACAGTAGAATGGATTACAGTTACAGATATTGATTTGATTATAGCAGAAAAAGCAGACTGGACTGCCATATGTAATCTCTCTTCTTACTATCAAGATCTAGAGATAGTGTTTATGTGACATCACAATACTCCAAATAGCCTGTAGTTCAAAATTGTGGTGAAGGGCTGTGGTAACTGAGAAAGTTAGTCTCGTTTATGGCTGATTTCTCTAATTACTGGGCCAATCCACATGAAACGAAAACTGTCACAAATTTCCATTTCTTTGTTAGCACATATCAACTATGGTCTAATTTCTTTCGCAAAGAGGTGTTTGGAAGTGGTGACAATATTCCAAATGTATTGTATATATGCATGATGTTGACCAGTTGAAAAGATTTTCTGACTAGACTTGAGAATAGTCTAATATTTAATATCTATTCTATTGATCAAATACTGTAAGGATCTTAGAAAACACGAGGACATTTTCTTCTTTATCATGTCTTTACAAAATAGCTTTCTCCCATCGAGTTGTATTGGCACCTGCCCTCCAACTGAAATAGAATAGCATTGCAATTTAATCAGTGACTTTGAAAGTTTATCAGTCTCGTTTTTAGAGAATAAAAACAACACTTCTCTATCTGCAGTCCTTGCGCTAACCGGGTGATCCAGATGGAGCCTCAAGCCTACCTGGATGGATCTGACGGCAGCCGCTACAGCCCACCCCCCATGTTCCGCACCCCGCCTCCCCATTACCAGACCCCTCCGCCTCGATACGCCAGCCCCCCTCCCTCCTACAGCAGCCTGGGGTACGCACAGCAGACCCAAATTACCATGCAGTCCACCGTCCAGCTCCGCACCGAATACGACCCGCGCACGCAGGCCTTCTACACAACGGCCGAACCCCGCTCCCAAATTTCCGTGCAGCCCATGAACCCCGCGCCCGCCCGGACCGCCACAGATTACAATCTCAACAACAACACCAGCAACCGCAGCAACGCCAACTCCTTCTCCCATCACCATCCACCTGCGGCCGCGAGCTACAGCTGCGCGCCAGGACCCCAGCAGGACGCGGTGTCTACAGGGCACAGTGTGGAGAACAACAGCTCCACACGGGACCTTTTATCGCAGTTTGGGGACGCTTCTATGGGACTGAGGTGTGTGGAGTCTCCCTGCTCCGGCTGGACGTTTGCCTCTTTTGCGGAAAACCACTACGCGCCGTTTCTGCTGCAGCCCACCACTAAGGTGAGTGACTCAGGGTGATTCAGGAACCGTCTGTGGAGGTTGTGGTTAAGTCCTGAGTCTGAGTCATGTGCCACACACATTCACTCTCCGCTACGTTGCATGGGTGGCCAGACAGCACAGAAATATACACGGTTAAGGCTTTCATTTACTGAATTCTCATGTATTAGTGCATGTTAGAGATGTTAAAGATATGGTACCTAAAGTTTAAGCCACAAGAAATGTTATAACGATCACATTAAATTAAATTAGTTCTCCTCTCTCAAAACATTTTGGTTTTATCATGAGTTTTCTCATCCATGTATTTTTGGCCTCATCTTTAGGTCAGTTTTCTCAGACAGTGAAGTGAAACAGAAAAGACCACACTCACTCAGCCAATCAGCTCTTTGTGAGTCCAATAGTGACTCACAGGGCTCTCACAAGTATGCAAAAGGTCTGATTTGCTCACAATCTTTTTTACATTCACAAGACCTCTGTTGGGACAAACAAAATGTATTATTCATGGTTTCAAAAAGTTAGGTAGCCTAGTCTTTTGTAAAAATGCTGTTTAAACTAGTCACGTATACATTGTAGGACAAAAACTATTTTACATGGTATACTGATGGTATACTTAGTTTCCTGAGATATTTAACACACATACTGTACGTAATTCAGATTTATGACTTATGTGTAGTATGACAGCATAAGAAGTGTGATGTAATTATCATACAATCAGGAAGTTAAATTAAATAAAACTGAAAAAATGTCATTTAATTTTGTAGCAAAATCTAAAATATAATAAATGTTGCTGCATTTTAGTAGAAGTTGAAGCTGTCATAGGGACTTTAATCCTTTAATGTTCACTTTCTAAGATGTTGGAGCACTGATAACACAAATAATTGGTGGTATTGTTTAAAACCCCTAGTTGTTATATGCCTTGAGCTGTAGTTTGATGGTAAAAGTGCCTAAAACCAAGTGAGATGCCCCAAATAGGTATATTTCAGTTCTAAGATTCAAGTAGATATTGTGACCTATAAGGTAATCTACCAAATGGTCGAGGAAACGTTTAGCAGAACAAGTACAAAGTGGTTCTGTATGTATCCTCTTATATGATTTTTTTTTGCTGTGGTTCTTCCAGATCGTGGTCATCGTTCTGTTTGTGTGTCTGCTCGGCATCAGTCTGTACGGCACCACGCAGGTCCGCGACGGCCTGGAGCTCACCGACATTGTGCCCAGAGAAACCAGTGAGCACGACTTCATCGGAGCACAGTTCAAGTTCTTCTCCTTCTACAACATGTACGTGGTGACCCAGCGCGCCGAGTACCCCCAGAAACAGCTCCTCCTCTACCAGCTGCACCAGCGCTTCCACACCGTCCGGCACATCCTCAAAGAAGACAACGGAGCGCTGCCCCTAATGTGGATGCACTATTTCCGAGACTGGCTCCAAGGTGATGTGCTATTCCTTATTGTGTTTGTGTATGCGGAAAATATATACAGAGATTCTATTCAAAATCTGGGCAAACTGCGGCTTATTGATATTTCTTTCCCAGTTGGACTGGGCCTTTCTGAGTGGAGTTTGCATGTTCTCCCTGTGTCTGCGTAGGTTATCTCTGGTTGCTTCGGTTTCCCCTACCACTAAAACATGTACAATAGGTAGGAATGTATGTAATGAGTGAGTGAATGGATGGTGTGTTCGGGGTCTCCGTCATCACCGTTTGTGGAGAGAATGAAACATTATCTGAACTCTATGTAAAGCGCTTTAGGTGCTTTGGGCGCTATATCAATAAAGATTACTTACTTAATTACTTACTTCCCATTAATAATTGGTCAAAAACACTAGCCTGTACACTAGCCTTCTTAACCTTTGGTTCAACCAAGTAAAACCAAAAAATAATATCCAAACCCATTATCAATAACATAATTGAAAGCTTTGAATACATTCATATTGTAAAAAAGGTTAAAACAGAACAATAGCTACAGATGCTAAATGTGATAGCGTAAATAGTAACCATGTAAAATCGGGTCAGGCCCTCCACAATTTGACGATATCCCAATATGCCCTTCCATACCGAGCTAGGCAGGGGCTTCACAGCAATATGGTCCTGGGTTGGAATCCACCTCCAGACAAGGTCTTTCTGTCTGGAGTTTGCATAGTCTTCTCATTTGTATTTTGGTTTCCTGTGGGTGCCCCGGTTTCCCTTAACAGTACATGTAACAAGTGAGTGAATGGATAGGGATGGTTGGAGGCTTTGAAGTGTTCAGTTTTAGAGTGTTACAGCAAAATTGTACGATGATTTGTGTGACCTTGGGCTGTGAAATGTGCTATATAAATAAAGAATACTTATTTACTAAAAGTAAACCTGAACACAAAAATACACTATACAATGTGGAACCTTATCTGAATACGTATCTGAACTAGTGGTTAGGTGAGATTAGTGCTCAGGCCTCACAGCAAGTAGGTTCGGCCTGGGTCTGTCTCTGTGGAGTTTGCTTTTTTCTCCCAGTGTCTGGGTGGGTTTCTTCCGGGCGCACTGGTTTCCCACCACCACCCAAACCATACACCATAGGTAACATCCTCCAGCGATGCCCCGACAATAACGTAACCAGTGTTAAGAGACTATAATTATAATTTTTATGTCTATGAACCTTGTGTATGAAAAAAACTTTGAAAAAGACAGATGATTCAGACGACAAGTATTCCTATCCTTTCAAAGCATTAAAAAAGCATTACAGACAACCGTACAGTGTTAAGGATAAACTTACTGCAGACACATGTTTTGGGGACTGTTCAGTCGCTGTAGAAAACACATGCAGTCCATTTCTTTGTTTTCTTGAGCTAAATCTAACAACTTGGTTCTATGTATCATGTATTATTTTTCATTGTACTTTTCCATGAGAACAGATCTATCTATAGCTCATGCTTTATTTGGGAGCTTGTATTTGCATTAGAAATTATTCTATTGATTCCAGTGCAGGGGAACATGAAAGAATGTGGTTTTACTCCTTTTTTCATGTAGCTTCTTTGAGATAATACTTTTCGTTTGTGTTTTGACATTATTCTGCAGGAAACAAGATGTTGGGCTGGGATTCAGCAGTGGGAGGGATTCAGTAATGGACATTGACAGTAGCTGATTAGGATCAGTTGTTTTTTAAAAGAGTAGAAGCCCAATGTGGGAGGTTATTGTACAGCAGGCCTTGGGCTGTGCAGGAGACGACCACAGCAGTGTTTTTGTACTCATGCTTTAATATGGTTTTTATTCATATTTATGATATTTTAGTTGACTCTTTGTGGTTAAATATGCAATTATTTATGTTATCCGTCATGCTTCTCACTGACATATCAAAGCTACACACTGCCAGATAGTAAAAGCTTCAATGATAAAAGCATTGTAGTGGGACAGTATGCTAAACCACACAGGGAGTTTGTGGGTGCTGGAGATGGAGCCGTGTCTGATATTGCTTTCTGGGATGGTGGGACAAATTGGAGCCAGACAGGCCAAGGAACGAGACCCAAAACAACATCTACCACAGCATGGGCTTTGGGGGAGAGCCGTAAGGAGGGGGACCAACGCATAAAAGCATCAGGCGAGGGACACGTGTTATTCATATAGTCCCTATTGACTGTTCCGAATAAAATACTGTACATTTAAAGCCTTTTGAAGTATTGCATAAAGCTTGACAATAGAAGTAAGTTATCATATTAAACTAATCAGGCCTGTTATAGGGTTAGGCATTGGCTGAAGAGTTGGTCTGTAAAATGTATAACAAATGACAACAGCAAGGTATGTAGCGCTAAGTGGTCCCGTGTAAGTAATGTGTCATGTTGTGATTGGTTGCAGGACTCCAGCGAGCCTTTGACAAAGACTGGGAGACAGGTCGGATCACCCACACAAACTACAAGAATGCTTCTGATGACGGCGTTCTGGCGTACAAGCTTCTAGTGCAGACAGGCCGCAGGGAGAAGCCCATCAACTTCAACCAGGTGGGACATGTTTGCTAATCAACTGTAAATGTATGGAAGGTACATTATCTAAGCCATATTTAGACATGATATGTTGTTACATAGCATTATGAGTATAAAAGTCTTGACAGATTGAGAGATCTGAGCCAGAGTTAATTTGTTATCTTGCATATATCTAAATGATATGTGGTGCATTCGAGCTACACCTAGATTATTAACACCTTTTTGACATTCTTCTGCTCTCAATCTATACCTCCTCTCGTTGACCTCACTGAGGCCAGGAATGTAAAGCTCAGTAGAGCGGCTCGGCTTCTGAAAAAGCGATTAACTTTATATGAACCATTTGTCCCACTCGTTTGGATATGTGTCAGAGGTACGCACCCAAAAGATAACAAAGGCAGCTTCGCATGCTCAGTATTCTAATTATTTATTTCTTACATACACACAGGATACGAAAAAATACACAGTTAAAAAATGGCCTCCACCCCTCTCACTCATACAAAGCAAAACACATGGACAAAACATAAGCCCAAACACTCTCTGACCCGACACCTCTCTTCCATCACTTGCTCTGCGCGGAGGGCTTCAGTGTCTTTGAATTCAATTTATTTTCGGATAACCCTACATCACCTCAGAGGACTTTACAAATCTGTAACAGTCTTCGTAATGACGTACAGGAGGCCTCATCTCTAGCATTATTTAAGTCTAATCTAAAAATGGTTCTGTTTAGCTGTGCGTATGACTGAGTTCTACACTGAGTTTTTAAAAAGTTCTTAAGCAGTTTTTTTGTTTTTTACTTGATACTCTTTAAAATGTTTGTAAATGTGTATGATTTTATGTCTTTGCAATTTGGGTTGCACTGCATGAATCGTGCTTTATAAATAAACTTGATGGATTGATTGACAAAACCGTCAATTCGACAACACAGATCAGAGAATCAAACAGCTCAAACACAAGAAAAGTAATGATAATTTTTTTGTCTTTTTGGGGGAATAATTGCGATATACATTGATTTTAAAGTCTTTCTACATGAAGGAAAGTTGCTTCGTCTTAGTCTATAGTTGGTAGATGATATATATAGTTTTAACCTTACTCTAGTATTGTTAACTCGAGCGCCTCCTTCATATCGTCACCCTAGTGTGCGGGCTGTGATGTCACTTCCTGTGCCTGTGAGGGAAATGTTGCTGTGAGGCTTGGGGGCTGCCGGCGGCCCGTCCCGTGACAGCCTGAAGACATACAGTTGTTGCGTATCCCACTCCTAAACTCAATCCAGACCCCGTGGCATCTGGTCTCCTCCCTCTCCAGCGCTGTGTCCGCTTTCAATGAAACACGTGGTGCGCAACGCCAGCTCTGTGTGCGTGTGGGAGCCTGCGCTGGACCGTATAGTAGCTGTTTTTGGGCTCTAAAATGAAGACCAGATCTTTTCCAAGCCTGGCAAATTACAGAGCTAGATGTTTTATTTTGATATGCCCCTCCACAGATCTCTGCAGAGGTGTTCTGCTTTTGATCCTCGCCTGCTAACTTTCTTTTTTCTGTTGGCTACTAGTTCCTTATGGCTCACGCTGGGAAAAAAATGTAGTTATTTGAATTGAAACATGTTACAACATTGATATGTTGAACTTTCATTGGGGAATTTATAGTAAGAATGCGAGAGTTGTTGCTTTTGTTTCTGTTTTTGTTTTGTTAACCAATTTTTCTGTAAACTTTGGAAGGGGAAGATTTTAAATTGATTGGACAGTAGCTGTAGATAGGCTAGTTGCATTTTCATTATGTATTGATATTACCACACATTGAGTATGTGCTCTTAAATGTAATGTATAATCTCTTCTTGGGTCCCTAATGAGATGCCACTGGTTGTAACTCTGATACTAAAGCATTGGTTTTATATAGTGCTTGTTTGGACTCTCAAAGATGCTTCATATGGCATTATTCTTTCACTCCATACACAGTGGTGATAAGCAACTACTCTAGCCACGGTTGCTTTGGGGCAGACTGGCAGACTTTACAGCCGTCCCACTGCGGCACCTGGTGTTCCCAGAGCTCTCCCATCACAGTACTAACCAGGACCTCGCCTGCTTAGCTTCAGAGCTCTGACAGGATCTGGCTTCCATTGTGTGACTGTGATGGTGTTTTATTCTCTTGCCAGCAACAACTAGATACTGAATAGCCTTTTTTTTCCTTTAGATTTGTAATAAGTCGGGCTTTATTCATTCTATCCATCCATCCATCCATTTTCTACCCTTTAATCCATCCATTTCTGGGTCAGGGGGGTGGCAATCAGAGATGCCACCCAAGTCTCATAGCACCAGCCCCTCACTGACCCTCTGCAGGTGGTGAGTCCACAGGAGGACGGCTGCTCTCTGACTGTGAGCATAGCCTTGATCTTTCAGTGGGGGCTTTGGGCAAAGTGGGGTTAAGTGTCTTGCCCAAGGACACAACGACAGCAGTCATCAGTGGGAGTCGGTGGAGAAGGTGCAGAGGTGGGAATTGAACCCACGACCTTCTGGCCTTAAGGCCAATGCTCTACCAACTGAGCTACTGTCGCCCCTTTATTCATTCTAAAGTTTTCAAAAAAAAAAAGCAGATATACGGTAACATCTGCACAACAATTTTTACAGTGGCAGAGAAATTAACTCCAGCTCGTCCACGCTTTTGATATTCAATTATAAGATGGACCCAATAAATCCTAAGAAATAAATTCTGAAATGCTCAAATGAAGGCAGAGAGAAGAAATCACATCTGTATTGCTCTTTGGGGAAGAATAAAGTGATCTTATTCAGATTCTGATTCCTCAAAGAGCCAAAGACTGCTATTGCTATCAGGAGCACGTTCTGGTCAGGCCCTTTGAGTTCGTGGCGCCGGGAATTCTGGGTACTCATAGGTAGCTACATTTGTACAGATGTTGTGTTATTTATAAAGCTCTACTCCATTTGCTGGGTGGCATTTCCGTCAGTGTTAACAGCCTGGTTAACTGCACACAGACAGGCTCAGGGGCTCCAGCCAATTTTTTTATTGTTACGCTAACTGAAGCAATTTTTCCTTCCTCACCCCTGTCCCAAAACAACACGGCCCATTCTCTTTCTCCCTCCACACATGAGTCCTGGCCTCAGCGAGCCTTAGCTGAGGGCGATTTATGGTCTGCAGACGGAGGAGTGGCAGAGGGCTGTAATGGTTTTAGTCAGGAGGCTAAACCCTGGGGCTCCACCTGGGAGGGCCTGCCTGTGCCTGCACCGACCACAGCACTGACCACAGCTATTTCAGACTCAGACGTTATTGAGATTCAGTCCAACCAGTGTTAATTGATCCGTGCAGGGATTTTGCTCTTTGCATTATCTGTTAAAGCTGGAGTACCTGACTTTTTTTCTCATGTCAAGGCAAGTCTGTTTATAAATAAGTAGTGAGTAAGTTTTTAATTCAAATTTATATTTTTCTCATACAGCAGAATCAAACAGCAATTCTACATGAATTCTACCATTCATGTAGAAGAAACCCAGAAAGAACATTGGGAAACAATAAAAACATGAACAAAATACAAAAATATACATATACACACATAAACATGCATACATCTGTAATAATGATTCAAAAAATAGTAATAATTTTAAAAAAGTACATTATAAATAAATCCTACATGTTTGCCCCAAAAGAAAGTGTCTTTGGAAAAAATAAAAACACAAAATAAGACCATTACACAAGGTTTTTGTCTTATTAGAAAACGTCACTGCTTGATGCTTTGGGCTAAGCTGATTGGCTGAAGTGAAGGTGTCCTCTTTACTTCACTTTCAAACCCACAAAAGCTGATCTAAAGACATGACAGGCCAAAAATACATGCATGGGAAAACTACTTCTAAAACCAAGCTGTCTCGGTCAGGAACTTGAAAGTTTGGTGTCCCAACTTTAAGTTATATACGTTTTAGTCTTGTCAATATTTTTATGCTGACGTCCCTGAAAGGCTTCGCGAGATTTATTATTTCACAAATATAATGTTAGAAAACAATGATATAATCAAGAAGGCATGCATGGTGCCGGAAATATGGCGCAGTGGCAAGATCTTTGGTGTGTACGATCTTCTGTCTGATGCACACTGGGTCTTGCACATTTTTTCCAATGTAGTTTTACTGCAAATGGAAAATTTCTTTGAATCTTCTTTGAATTCTTGAATCTTGAATTTGTTGTTACTTTGATTCAATACAAAGCAATACCATAATGAAGAAAAATGAACTTTCAAAATATTGATTTAATTCGACCCGCTGTCATACCATACCATACTGCCCTGATGCCTCTTCATCAGAGCAGTATGGTACAAAGGGCACCGCTTCTATCATTTCCTTTGGATTGTTAAACCCTGTTCCAAGGCTCCCTGGGACCTGTTCTGAGCGGTCATGGACGTGAGGTTGGCTGCGCTGTATCTGGTGCATGTAAAGAGAGAAGCTGATTCAACACTTTCCATGTTTTAATGTGGCATGATAATTCTGGGAAGCGGCTACGACCAGTACGGGAATGTTCAGAAAGGCTACCAGTGTTTGACTGTTGATTTTTCTTTGGTCGGAAAGAGAGCCCGGCAAATATTTGAGTCTTATTTTGAAAGCTGCCCCGTTCTATTGCGCCGGAGCGTGTGTATAAATAAGCTCACCTGTGCCTTTTGCTCTGACATGCCCACAATACCTTTCCCAGTCCAATGTATACATCTAAGACCACAATATGATTTTTACAACTACCTGATCAGTTGATATTTTTTCCTTAATTGCACCTTTTCCTCTACATCATTTCTGCATTTCAAAACTTGGCTTTGCTCAATATAAACAAACTGTAATGTTTTCACTGTGCGATTCTTTAAACCAAAGCTTAATTATGGTTTGGATGAGTTATTACAATTCTTTCTCTTTTACATTTTAGCTGACTCGCCAGAGGCTTGTGGATGCAGATGGCATAATCAACCCCAGAGCTTTTTATATCTACCTAACTGCATGGGTCAGCAATGATCCAGTGGCCTACGCTGCGTCCCAGGCCAACCTGCGGCCCCACCCCCCAGAGTGGCTCCATGACCGGACAGACTCCATGCCCGAAACTCGCCTCAGCAGTAAGTAATGTCGCCTTGAAATATATTTTGTCAATTTTGCTGGATGGTTTTGCTACGTGTGATGGGATGAGGATATGTCTCTTTAGGTTTATTTGTATGGCACATTTCATACAATACAAAACACTAAAGTATAACGTAACAAAGTCTGAGATATCTGCTCTTAAAAGCACTCAATTTTATACGCATGTATAGATGAACAATGCTAACCTCCTAGCTCAATGAAGCCCAATAGGGAATTGCCCCTACTTGCTCTGGCACCACCACACTGAAAACAAACTCCACCACCCCACTCCTCTAGCTCAGTAACCATTTGTGTCTCACTCACCCTCTTGGCCTTTACAAATGTGTGTTCTAGTGTCGTCTATGATCCTGGTGTTTATACTGATATTGTTTTTGTAAATCCAGATATGAACCATATAGGGATTGACCAATAGATGCCTTAATCCAGCTTTCCTTAGCAACCATCTTAGTAACACGTTTGCCTCTGTTAAACAAGATTGGTAGGAAATTGGCTTGTGTTCAAATTGGCTTCTTCCGCATTCTGCAAACACTACGGGTGACGACAACACTCCGTCAGTCCACTCCTAATATACATTCTGTGGTTGTAGCACACCTGATATCATGAGGCAGACTATTCCATTTATAAGGAGTATGATGAAACATCTGAGACTGCACAAGCCTATAATGCACAAGCAAACCAGAAATACAGTATATGGAGGTGCCAGATAGTGAAGAGTTTTCAAGTCAATTTGAGTCTGAATCGGGAGCCAATGTATATTTCCTCTGCACAAGAGTAATACAATACAATTTATTCTTGTATAGCCCTAGGTCACAACAGAAGTCATCTCAGAGGACTTAACAAAACCATTGAAATCACCAACACAGGTCAGAGAATCAACAGTTAAAACACATGAAGTAATATGAGCTCTTTTTCTGGTCCGAGTCAAAACACAAACCACGTGATTTATACATGGTTACATGAGAAAACATAGCAGAAAGGTGTCAAAAGTAGACATCTGGGCTTTGGGTTTTTCAGCTCTAGATGTTTTGACTCCCATCCAGGAGTCATTTTCAAATCTGAAAGGAGGCGGTCTGTGAAATTAGATTGAAACCTGTTGAAAACTGCTCCTTGGAGTAGTGCAATGGTAGCTTCAGGTAACAATGCACTTCACTAGCAAAGATCGCGCCACAACAATCGAATGCGATTACTGGTAAAATGGTTATTGGTGAAGACTCAGGCTGAGGGATCATGTCTCTGAGGTTAACTGTCAAGCTCAACCAGGACCCCCCGCAGTGATGATATTTGACGATGCAGAGACAAATATGCTTTCTGGGTAATGAGGAGCAGACAGGGAGACGAGGTGTGGTTGGTCTGGAGTGAAGGAGGAGGTTCAGGTGTGGCTCTGCTCCTAAATATGGATGTGGAGGAGGATCTGGACAACATTTACATGTTGGTTCAGTGAACTAGTGATTCTATTTTGGAGGTGTTTTTATTAGAATTTTCCAAAACTTTGGTGGGTGGGTGTGTGTGTGTGTGTGTGTGTGTGCAAGGATATGTGTGTTTTATTGTTTTGTTTGTGAATAATAATCACAAAACAGAAGTGCAAAGGAACATTTTAGCATGTTCTGTAGGCAAATTATATGTTTTTGTTATATTGTTTTTATACACATTAACACATGCAGGGTGGGGGGTCTTGGCTCTTACAGTTATTTAATGAAACGTGAAAATGAAAATGAAATTTAAAAAAAACTTGATTAGCTATTTTGCCAGCCAAATAAATAGACCATATCAGAGTCCCATAGAGTCTGTGAGTGAATGGGAAGTCTATGCTGTCACAGCGGTGGTAGAAAAGATAAGGATTCGAACAATAATATTATACCTGGGGATAAACTGGAGGAAGTGTGCATGAAGATGGAAGTACATGAAAATACGGTGTAATAATACGGATGGATGGATGGATTATCAATAAACCAAGATTCAATATACTGCCATAAATAGCTACATGTGATGTGGCTGTAAAAACCATAGACTATAAATATGAGTGTAAAACGCAGCAGTGTAATAAGTCACATATTGGCTATACATGTGTGTGTGAGCTCAGGTTTCAGTGCTGTTGTCCAAATACTCAGCTCACCGTGGTTCTCCTACTGCTGCCTGTGGTGAACGCTATAATCCTGTCTACCGTCACACTCACATACACACAGCCATACGCACATTATTAAAACTCACTGACCCCAAACGCTGCGCACACCCTGTTTTCATTTCCCTACCACACACTCACCCACTATACCTCCCATAAAAAATGAAGAAAAAAAAAAAAGCAGTTTGAATCCAAGCAGCGATTCGGTACGAGCCAGGAAGTGGTCTGTGTGCGAGGAAAACGATTGGATAACGAGTTGAGACTGGGTTAAGTGGCGAGCACAATTGGATAACAAGCAGGAAGTCCTTTATAGGAGAGGAGGAGTGGGATTGGATCAGGAGTGTGAGGTTTTTTGGCTGCACCAGATTCCCCCCTGCCCCCAGCGCTGCAGAGGTTTCTGGACGAGAGCCAGTGGGTGTCCTCATGGAAATTTATAGTTGTGATTATAAAGGGCCAAAGCATGTTAGCATGTGCTCCTGTCTGACCCCAAAGCGCTGCAGCAGAAATCAAAACAAACCCTCCTTTTTTTTACTCACACAGACTTTGGTTGTGATAGTAGGAGGAGGGACTAAGTTCAGTCCAGGTAAACATGAGAAACTATTTATGCTTTTTCTATGGGAGTTATTGCCACAGTGCACAATGCAACTAATAAGGTCATGTTTTATTTATAGGATTTTACTGTAGAGAATAAGATGTGAAGCAGGATCTAGGATTTACCAAAAACGTGTGTGTGTGTGTCTGCAAGGATATAAGTGTTTCATTTTTTGTTGTTGATAAAACTTACAAATTAATTACAAAAAATAAGTGCAAAGGAACATTATAGCACTGGCGTTCTGTAGGCGAATGCTTGGACATGCATGACTTATTCGAAAATAACTTTGAGGTTGGGAAAACATTATGATGAGAGCTGAATTATATTAAAGGAAACCTCCAGTGAGAAAGTGAAATACATATTGTTTTTATACTATATTTTCAAAAAGGAACAAATATCACCACATGGAGGTCCAGAGCAGAAATAACCAAAATATAAAATGTGAAAATATGTACGACTAAAGTAAAACAAAACTCAAAGAATTGTTGACTCTATACAGTTCTACTTGTTATTGGTACTCTCCTCAGTTCATTTCAATTCCATTTACTTTTGTATTGACCGTCTCGGAGGACTTTACAAAACAGATTTGAGATTAGACTAGAATATTTTCCCTGAGCTACAGTTCCAAGGCAAATGTCAACAAATGTCAACAAATGTCAACTCAATGTATAAATGTTATTTTTTTCTTCTTCTTTTTGCTCATTTTTGGGACAGGATTACAATTATTTTAAATTGGATTGTAATATGTGGTAGGGCTGCAACAATAAATCAATAAAATCGATAAAAATCAATAATTGAAAGTGTTGGCAACAAATTTCATTCGATTTGTTGTGTCGCGCAATTAATATGTCACCCACTACGTCTCGGAGCTCACATGAGTTAGACACATTCTTGTACAGCTGTGTTCAGACTTTTTTATATAATGCACAAAGATGATTACTTCTGATTAATTCTAATTCACTGTGGCATTAGCAGCGCACACACTTGTCTGCTCGTCTGCTCCTTCTCGCTCACACACACACACACACACGTCTGCTCCTCCGCTCGCTCACACACACACACTATGCGCTCTCATCTCGCTAGGTGTAGCAATTCTTAGTCTCTTTCCTCCTATCTGAATCACTTGGGATTTAGATCCATGATTTAGACAGTAAATACTGCTAAAGTTATTTGACAGCTCCAAAAAGTCACCAAAGGACCTTGCAGCACACATAGCCGCCCTCGCGCCCACCTGTTTACAAATTGTTGAAAATGTACTAGTAACAATGTACTTTTGAACAAAAAGTCACGGAGGTCCATTTTCAGCGAGAAAAAGTCGGAATTCCGCCAATTGTCTGAAAATTCTCATCCCTGAATATATATATATATATATATATATATATATATATATAAATCCCTAAAAAATACCTATTTTTGTGCACTTTACTTTTCAAAAAGCCAGTATTTGCATAGCTTACATTTGCATGTTTTTTTGTTTAGGTCCATGGCCATGTTTGTGAACAAAGGGATGAATCAAAGAAATAATCGACAGATTAATCGATTATTAAAATAATGGTTAGTTGCAGCCCTAATATGTGATGTACTGTCCTGTCCAAAATTGCAATATATACATAAATAAATACTGTGAGTATACAATCCAATGTCGCACAGAGAGCAAACTGTCCAGGCACAGCAGAGGGACGAGTACAATTCCCATACCTTCATTGGCGATCTAAAATGAGTCAACTTTCCAAATGAAACCAGCTAGAATGTACATGAATGTGCCGTTTCACACTGGACCATGACTTCATCGCTGAGTGACAGGGTTTGGATGTTCAGTGCTTTATGCTGGGGGTGCGGTAATAGCGCTGGCTTTGACTTTGCAATTACGGTGAATCAAGAGAGCTGGGCCTGACACTCTCCTCTGTCTGCAACTGATAGGCTCTAATTAGCCGGGCTGCGCCGCACACCGGGTCCAAGTCAAAGGAGCTCTGTTTCAGCCTCCCCACCCCACCCCCCCTGAGCCCTCACCACACACGCACCTGGATCATGCCGAGGGGGTGGCGATAGCTGCAGTCGGGAAGCTGTCGATGGGTTTTGCAGATGCGCTAAACAATTACAAGTTAATGTTGGGTAATAATACAGCTAATATTGCTTGCAGAGGTTTGATGCAGTGTTTATCTGAGCAGTTATCTTTGGTCCTGTAGTTTGACACAGCAGAGGAAAAATATGATTATACCTTTCTATAGTGGCAAGAAAGCACATGAACTGAAATGGTATCTAAGATTACAGGTACTACGCAGAGTGAAATATATATAGTTTTTCTTCCTTGTCGTGACTTAGAGATAATGAAAACCTAATGTTAGTTGTCAAGATTATCACATAAGACCATTCAAAAGGTTTCTGATCATCTCCATGCATTCAATAATTTGGCATTTTGCATCACAGTAATTGCTGCATCAATGTGCTCATTGTTGTCGTACTGTTTACACAGTATAATTTTTTCAGACATACTAGTTAAATTAGCTTTACACTTGGGTCAGGGAATATTTACCATAAAAAGCAGAACATATTTTACACACAATAATATTGTCACTATTCCTTCCACCTGAACAAGTGTATAGTCAGACAATAAAGCAAAAGATAACAGTCACAGTATCATGCACAATTACAAACAAAAACAGTCAATTTATTATTACTTAAATTATTTAATTATAAAGAAAATTGAACTCTTAACTTGTTTGTATTGACTCAAGAGACAAAACATTATAACATTATAAAAGAAAGTGTATGTCATCATGTGTCCGAGTTATGAACTGAAATGTACTTTGCAATATATTATTGTATAAAAGCGCTTCATAAAAGATTGATTGGATTATCAGGAAGGGTGTGGTATGTGTTTTAAACCAGTGTATTTGGATCCATAGACCCTATATTAGGAGTGGACTGACGTCACCCATAGTGTTTGACTTAATGCAGAAGAAGCCGAATAGCGCGAGCGAACAGACTTTTTGAGAGAGAATGTGGAGCCAAATTATTCCAATGTTGTTGATGGCAACAGACGAAAAACAAAGCACCAATCAGGAGCTGCGCCGGTCAGGAGTGCAAGTGGGGGCACTTGCGCTCCTCGCAAACAAAAGCCAAATTTGGCAACAGAAGGCTCCTGATTGGTCAGTTTTTAGGGCTCATATTTGGCTTAACAAAGGCAAGATCACAACAACACCAGGATTGAAGAGAGCACTAAACCATGGATCTTTAAAGACTAAAATGGTGTTTGTGACACAAACGGTTGCTTAGCTGGAGGAGTTTACTTTCTAATTTAAGTCAATAAGAGCAAGTTGGAGCACTTCCCTATTGGGCTTCATTGAGCTAGGAGGTTACCATATACAGTGCCTTGCGAAAGTATTCGGCCCCCTTGAACCTTTCAACATTTCTCCACATTTCAGGCTTCAAACATAAATATATACAATTTTTTGTCATGAATCAACAACAAGTGGGACACAATCATGAAGTGGAACAAAATTTATTAGATAATTTAAACTTTTTTAACAAATAAAAAACTGAAAAGTGGGGCGTGCAATATTATTCGGCCCCTTTACTTTCAGTGCAGCAAACTCACTCCAGAAGTTCAGTGAGGATCTTTGAATGATCCAATGTTGTCCTAAATGACATGATAAATAGAATGCACCTGTGTGTAATCAAGTCTCCGTATAAATGCACCTGCTCTTTGATAGTCTCAGGGTTCTGTTTAAAGCGCAGAGAGAACCATGAAGACAAAGGAACACACCAGGCAGGTCCGAGATACTGTTGTGGAGAAGTTTAAAGCCGGATTTGGATACAAAAAGATTTCCCAAGCTTTAAACATCTCAAGGAGCACTGTGCAAGTAATTATATTGAAATGGAAGGAGTATCAGACCACTGCAAATCTATCAAGACCCGGCCGTCCCTCCAAACTTTCATCTCAAACAAGGAGAAGACTGATCAGAGATGCAGCCAAGAGGCCCATGATCACTCTGGATGAACTGCAGATAACTACAGTTGAGGTGGGAAAGTCTGTCCATAGGACAACAATCAGTCGTGCACTGCACAAATCTGGCCTTTATGGAAGAGTGGCAAGAAGAAAGCCATTTCTCAAAGATATCCATAAAAAGTCTCGTTTAAAGTTTGCCACAAGCCACCTGGGAGACACACCAAACATATGGAAGAAGGTGCTCTGGTCAGATGAAACCAAAATCGAACTTTTTGGCGACAATGCAAAACGATATGTTTGGCGTAGAAGCAACACAGCTCATCACCCTGAACTCACCATCCCCACTGTCAAACATGGTGGTGGCAGCATCATGGTTTGGGCCTGCTTTTCTTCAGCAGGGACAGGGAAGATGGATAAAATTGATGGGAAGATGGATGGAGCCAAATACAGGACCATTCTGGAAGAAAACCTGTTGGAGTCTGCAAAAGACTTGAGACTGGGACGGAGATTTATCTTCCAACAGGACAATGATCCAAAACATAAAGCCAAATCTACAACGGAATGGTTCACAAATAGACGTATCCAGGTGTTAGAATGGCCAAGTCAAAGTCCAGACCTGAATCCAATCGCGAATCTGTGGAAAGAGCTGAAGACTGCTGTTCACAAACGCTCTCCATCCAACCTCACTGAGCTCGAGCTGTTTTTCAAGGAAGAATGGGCAAGAATTCCAGTCTCTCAATGTGCAAAACTGATAGAGACATACTCCAAGCGACTTGCAGCTGTAATTGCAGCAAAAGGTGGCGCTACAAACTATTAGTGCAAGGGGGCCGAATAATATTGCACGCCCCACTTTTCAGTTTTTTATTTGTGAAAAAAGTTTAAATTATCCAATAAATTTTGTTTCACTTCACGATTGTGTCCCACTTGTTGTTTATTCTTGGCAAAAAAATAAATTTTTACATCTTTATGTTTGAAGCCTGAAATGTGGCAAAATACTTTTGCAAGGTGTATAGACTTATATACAGTCTATGGTTTGGTTCCACTTATTCGGTAAAATTTAACCTCGTCATGTTTTGTCCGTGCAGTCCCGGCAGCTGAGCCCATCGAATACGCACAGTTCCCCTTCTACCTCAACGGGCTCCGGGAGACGCCTGAGTTTGTGGAGGCCATCGAGAGCGTGAGGGCCATCTGCAGTAACTACAGCCTCCAGGGCCTGGCCTCCTACCCCAACGGATACCCCTTCCTCTTCTGGGAGCAGTACGTCAGCCTTCGCCACTGGCTGCTGCTGTCCATCAGTGTGGTGTTAGCCTGCACCTTCCTGGTCTGCGCACTCTTCCTGCTCAACCCATGGACAGCTGGGGTCATTGTAAGTACAGCCAAAAGGAATCTACAGAATTTTACTTTTGTTTTTGTGTTTTGCATCCAACAGCTTGGGATCTAACACTAAAGAAAATGGTTATCGGAAAAATATGGGAAATGCCAAAATAATGCAGGTTTTTTTGCGTTTTTTCTGCTTGGTTGTTCACTACTGATAAATATGTGTAATATAACAATCGTAATGCATATTTTTTGTATAGCACTTGTTTTGATACAGAGCTGCTTTAGATAGATGAACAAATAGACAGACCCCAATCCTACCACTTTATTTATATAGCACATTTCATAAAACACAGGTTCCAAAGTGCTGCACAATAAAAGACTAATTGAAACAAATTTTAAGTAAAATAATGAAATTATTCAAATCAAATATTAAAAAACATAAATATATATATATATACACACACATACACATACACATAGAGGCACATATAACAGTAAAACAAAATAAAATAAAAGGACCATACAACTTACGCTGCCTTAAAAGCCAGAGCATAAAAATGGGTCTTAAGACTAGACTTAAAATGCTCCACGGAAGGAGCATTGAATAGGAAAGTACCCACTAGGGGGAGCGGGGAGGGTTTTTACATGGGACTCTTGTACATGTTTCAAGTGGCACCTGTAGAAAACCTATGCCTAAGTTAAACCATAACCTGTGATGCACAATAGAACATTCAATCATAAATAGTAAAACATAATCTGGATTAAAACCACTTCATAAACTGTTCTTTGTAGAAGCTGCTGAATCTCACAGCTTACAGAATTTATGCATTCATTCTTTACATATCGCGTTATTGGTCAGAATCCCAAGGGTAGAGTTCAGCTTCTCCAGATGCATCGGTTTGACATTGAACTCCCTGAAAAAACCGTAAAACAACCCTTACTCCATCTTGGTAAATTATATCTACAACTTGCGAGCCTATCATATGCATCTATTTCTTTTCTGTGTCGTTCTTGTCGCTGTGTGGTCTGTGCTTTCAGAAAAGGCACGACCGCACGTTTAGTGTAGCTCCAGTCACCAGTGTTTATCCTGCGCTGTTTTGTTTAGTCTGGTACAACACTCCCAGACACCGGCCCTGAAATAAATGAGGAGAGGACACATAGCTGCTCTGGCAGCCCCCTCCCACTCCCCAGCCTATAAAAAGGCATATATACAAAGGTCTATGCACCAAATACACACAAACCATCTCTGGGCTTTTACTTTACGCACATGCGATGCTTATGCTAAAGTTTAGGTCATCCACCACTCTTGTTTTAGTCACTCTATGTGTGTATTTTAAAAGATCATTTAAAACCTCTAACCAATCAAAAAAACATGATATATATAATTGTAACATACATCGTTTTGCTCCAACGTAATGTTTTTTTAAAGAAAATTCTGATAATAATAACATTCTTGTTGAATTCCTTTACTACTAATATTTGCGTTTTGAGTTTCTAGTTTTGATCATCATTTTTGATATTTTTCAATACTCTGAGCTCATGCTGCCTTAGCAACCTGGGATCAGATAAAGCGGACATACAGTATATGATAAAATACATTCCAAATACATGTTGTGACTGTATGGTGATTAAGTACATTTTAGATAGTGGCCATCAGTGCATATAAGATCCACATTCAGTTTATTCGCCATTTGCAGTTAAAAACTGCAAATACATGTAAAAATACATTGGAAATGATGTGTGAAAATACTCATTGTGCACATTATAGACAACTACAAAAATATTATATTTCATCCCACAGAAATTCATATCTAAATATTCTTTTGTTGAATTGTTATAACACTCACTAGAAATGCTGAAATGCTTTCACTGCAAAAAATGATAACATATGAGATAATAATTGCTCAAATCTAGTGGTTTTTGTCTTAATTTGAGCACATTCTGACTGTATTAAAACAAGATTTGCCAATGAGACAGAGCCATTTAGTCTTATTTCAGGAACTACTGCTTTATTTATCATTCTAAAGGAGACATTTCTTGTATCTTTTCAAAACAAGATCATTTTTCTTGTCCCGTTGGTATTTGAGCATTATTTTACTTATTTGTCATCACTTTTTGCAGTGTTCTCACAAATTGAGAGAAACACATTTGTTTGAGAGAAAAAGGTTATTTATGACCCCTTCAAAGTTTCAATGAATCATACTCCAATTCCATACCCATTGGTCTGACATTATCCAGAGCTGCCAGGACACTGCGTAGTAAAAAATCTCCATCCGGGACTTACATGTTGGCAGTGTTTGCGTACTCGGTTGGACCCACACAGACCCACACCGCTCTGGCCGCTTCAAAGAGCCCGGGCCTCAATGTAACTGGACACCTGTCAGCTGATAATGGCCTTCCTTCCCAGCTCCTATCCTGCCAAAGCCTATTACCCACTACACATGCACTGAGCAGAAATGAAGGAATACAGATATATATATTATTGTAAAAAGAAAGAAGCTGATTGGATCTTAAATACATCATTCATCAGCTCTAAGGCTTTTCTGTGGTTGAAATATAATAAACCACAAAGAGTCTATGTCTCAAGTATCTTTCAGACGTATTGCTTTTCTCACTACACTTTTTTTTTTTTTTTATTAAGCTGAAACTTTCAAAATGTTTTGCATTCAGGTCTGAGAATGTCGTGAAAAATGTCAACAAACTACTGTATATTTCACATTTTGGCAGTGAATCTTTTATTTATACCAAGTTGAACTATTGGTTAGAACTGATTTTTTTTCTGAAATATGGAGGTAATCGCTTCATACTGCATGTACACTTTGTCAAATTGCGTGTACACTTTTTCGTATTGTGTGTCACTTTTTCATAAATGTGTACACTTTTTTGTATTGTGTACACTTTTTCATATTGTTTGTGTACCCTTATTTTCAAATGCAACTCTCTTGAAGTTGTTACTTTCTGAACAAAATTTGACTTTTTAAACAAACATAATATTCAAATTCTCAATTTGAATGTTGATAAGATATTAGATTAGATTAGATTAGATAAAATTCAAGTTTATTGTCATTACAAAGTCAGAACAATGCAATATTCAAGATATACAGGAGTTTTAGATATTTTGCCAAAATCATTCCATGCTAATCAGCTCCTGGTGGGGCATATGTCTCCATGAGTTTGCTTTGAAATATGACCATGTTCTAGATCAGATCAGTGGAGAGGCGAGTCCACTACCTTAAGAATGAAGGCTTTTCTGGGTATTTTCAACCCATACATTTTTTTTGTTCTCACAAAATCTCTGTTTAACTGATGATTTTTACACAAACTAAGAAGAGGACAGAACTGCCGCTAGCAAAGTTAACACAGTGCTTCTTCACCATCCAGCCATCCATTTTCTACCCCTTAATCCATTTCTGGGTCAGGGGGGTGGCAATTAGAGATGCCACCCAAGTCACATAGCACCAGCCCCTCACTGATCCTCCTGCAGGTGGTGAGTCCACAGGAGGATGTGCTTCTTCACAATGTACTTTATATGTCATGGTCAAGAATTATGCTAAATAGTTTTTATGTGACAGGTGCTGGTGCTGTCCCTGATGACCGTGGAGCTGTTTGGCTTCATGGGACTGATGGGGATCAAGCTGAGTGCAGTCCCTGTGGTCATTCTCATCGCATCAGTGGGCATCGGAGTGGAGTTTACAGTCCATGTGGCTCTGGTATGCACACGATTTATGTAAAAGTATAGACGGGGTAGATTATAAAAAACTCACATAAGTAAATATAGAAGGTTTTGACCATGTAGGGAGAGGGAAAAATTGTCCAAAATGGCTGCAGAATTGATGTGTGTTGTCAAATAAACATTATTGTCAAAATCATGTTCTTTGCCTTAAAAATATAATATTAACAAATAAAGAAAAATAGAAAAAAAATACATTCTTCTAGCATGTATTTTATTTTATTTTTTTACTAATGACTCGTATGTGACGTGATGTCAGGATGGTCATACATAAGCAAGTTGCTTCAGCCCAATCCTTTTTTTGTTGTAATACAATCATTGAATATAAAACCTGTTATTATTCATCAAACAATTGACCAAAAAAATAACATGTATTTAAATATCAGAAGTCTATGACAGCTTGGAGACACTTGTAGTAGTTGTGGATGAGGTTCTTTATCCTCTTTATCCCATTCTTCTTGGCAAAAAGCCTCCAGTTCCTGTAAATTCCTAGCCTGTCCAGCCACACGCCACCCTAGTCCAAAGAAGAATCCTCTGGATGGCTGCTCACGTTGATCAGACAGGCGGCATTTCTTTGTCCATAACTTTCCTTCTATATGGCTGTGTGTGACTTTTCTGACAATTCTAACCCAATGAATAGCTTTTGCTGTGAGTTTGCAAACGAAATCAAACGCTTCTATCAAAACAAATGGTAAAACATTGGTTTGTGTGTGGCAGGCCTTCCTCACCGCCATCGGAGACCGTCACAAGCGTGCAGTGCTGGCTCTAGAGCACATGTTTGCCCCTGTTCTGGACGGGGCCTTCTCCACACTGTTAGGGGTGCTCATGCTCGCAGGCTCTGAGTTCGACTTCATTGTCAGGTAAGCAATAAAACGCATCCACAAAATGTATTTTTGATTACACATTAGAGACTGATGCATATTTTAGCCATCTTTGTTTTCTTTCATTCAAAAACAATATTTCCCAATATCTCCTGCCCCAAACCCACTGGTCTGAATAGACTTGTCTCTCAGTTATTTTTATTTTCCGTCATTGATAATACGCTTGTAATCGACTCTTGCAGTCAATCAGGCATTTTGCTTTTGTAATAATACTGTGATGTTTCTGTAACCTGCATGAATGAAGCAATTCAATGTTGTGACAAGGTGATACATTTGAAAAAAAAAATCATCAGGGCGATCGTATAAACAAAAAGAACTTGCTAGGTCTCCTCACACTCATCTCTGTCTCATTTGTCTGTGCACACTGGAGACTTTTTGCTAATGTATTCCAATGGGTTTTTTTTACTGCAAATGGCAAATAAACTGAATCTGAATCTCTACGGAACGGTTACATTTGTTTTTTCAGTATTTTTTTGTAATATCCTTGAAAGGAACATGGCTATTTTAAATGTGTCTTTTTACTCAAGCTTTATTTGATCAGGAAAATTATATTGAGATTCGATTATCCAGGGGTGTCTTGGCCAAGAGGCATTTACAACACAAGCCTTAAAACACTTCAGTAAAACATACAGTTATAAAAACATACAATAAACATCAGTACCTCTGCACTTCAAGGTCATACATACATACATTGGTTGAAAGCTCAAAAAAGATCATTTAGCATTTACATTTTTATTATGACTGCAAGAAAAGATGCCCTATGCCTCTTCTGTTATATAAAAGTAACTCTCCGATTGAGAAAGGTTGGAGACCCCTGCTCTATTAATACTAAGACAAGTTTATATTCCAGTACTTCCAAGTCTTTTAGCCAGACTATACCAATGTTCAAGCACACATAGATGACACAAAACTGTCACTACAAAGTCCAAGGCATAGCTTGTAAAATGATCAATCCTTTATTTCTTTCTGTTCTATGAAAAAAAATCAGTAATCCATGAACACAGCCGTTGTAATGAACACAGAATTATACCTGCAACTGTTCTTGAACTGCTGCTGCGGCTTCTGCGTCGGAAAGCCTGGGTTATTGAATGGCGTCCGTGTGGCGTCGCCGTGACCACTGCGCTCAAGCTCGGACCTGTATGTCACTGGAATCCACCTGAGCGGGCCAACCATGCATGAAGGCTCCTCTCTGCCCCGCTCTGTCTTTGCTTTTAGGCTAGTCTTACACCCGCATCTATGCTTTCTCTGTACAACTCATCCTTTTTGCTTTCTTTTTTCTTTTTTTACAAGAAACGCCATAAACTAGACAGACTTCTCTTATTTTTCTACCTTCTATTGACGCTTGACATTTTAAGGCCAACTAACTATGGTGCTGAGAGTTGAAGGTCAGGATGAGAAGGGGCTATAGAAGAAAAATCATCTGGCTTTTGTAAAGTGCCTCAAGCTACTGGACGTTTATAAGCAGGGAGTAGGGAAGGGGTGCAGAGTTAAGTGTCCCATACCAGAATGACAGGAAAAGTGAGGATGAAAGCCCATTGTCTGTTGTCCTAACATTGAGCAACGTTATACAGAAGAGAGTGTGAGAGGTGAATGCCATATCTATCATTTTACCTTTTCTTGTACTTCACCCCTTGTTGATCATGTGTGGTTGTTCTCTCATAAATGCAAGCAAGGAGTTTGTCCTGTACAATAGGTTGGATTCATGAGACCTCTCAATTTCAACTCATTTCAATATATTTCTGTATAGCCGTAAGTCGCAACAGTATTTATCTCGGAGGACTTTACAAAAAATACAAATGGAAATACAAACGATAAAATAGAAAACAAATTTACCAGTATATGGCGTTTTTTATTTATCTTTCATAATCTCCAAAAAACAATACAATACAAGTGACTATTCTGACAATTCTAACTCAAATAATCCGTTCAAACACAAGAAAGGCAATGATTTTAAAAAAACAAACAAAACAAAAACACATAAACCGATTGGGCCATAAGGGGCAGATGACCAATGTCCATAAATCATGTTGAATGTTGAGGGTCCTGGATCATCACCACTGTCCTTGGACCTTCCTGCATCAGCAAGAAAAACCCAGTGGGAGAAACCTCGGGTAGGCCTACTTTGAAGAAGGGATTCGCTCGCACGGACGGACGGGCTATAGATCCAGGAAATGAGGCTGTAGAACGAGGACTGAGGCCGCACGCGATGCAGGACTAAAGAGACTATAGTTCAAACTTGTGGTTGAAGACCGTAACTATGGCAACTGTCACAACTTCTGGCTTAGATACAGAGATACAGTAACTTTTCTGTACTCCCTGGGACAATCTACATGAAACAAAAACTGTCACAAGGCCCACATCTTCTTTGTCAGTGTATTTCAACCCCATTTTTTTTTCATAGTGTCTAGGGCTGGTTATAATATTCAAATATTATAGTCATCATGTTGGCCAGTACTTGGACTCCCAGACAAAAGAAACATAGTAATCTGGACCAAGTTTACAGCGTAGGGACATTTTGACTCCCATCCAGTCGAAACATTGTTATTGTCTGAGGGAGGAATTACACTTTTGTGTTCCGTTCCCACTGGTCCAAGCAGCGCATCAGGTTCATGTGAAAAGTCTTTGGACATGCACGTTTAGGCTTCAGGAATTGAAAAACTTCTGCAGCAATATTTTTGGCATGAACCAATCCCAGAGTTTGCACAGATGATGGTCACGCCAGGAAGACGAGGAGAACACTCAAACCAACAGCTTTATTCAAAACGCAACATCAACTTAAGAAGAAGATGCAGTTTCGACAAATAAAAATTGTGGAAAGTAACAATTTCCTTTTGGCAACATTTATATAGGCCTACAGATTCAAGATTAAGCTGTTTTATATGATTTGAGCAAATACATGTTGAGAATGAAAGATTGTGACGGTGACTACCTAAAATGTTTTGATGTACACTGGGGTAGTCTTGCACAGTTTTTCCAATGTGGTTTTACTGCAAATGGCAAATACAATCTTGTATCTATCTAATCTTGTAACATGCGGTGATATTTCTGTAACACAAGTCCATTCCCTTTATGCTCAAGGCCAAAAATGAAAAAGCAACATGTGTTCACTCAAAGCTATAGATTCTTAAGTTTAGGCAGTATGGAGAAAGTACCCTTCTGAAATAAGATCTCTGAGGTCCATGTAATCTGCAAACATGCTAACAGTGTAATGCTCGACTGCACTCGGCCTCTGTAATCATGGGGGTCACACATACACACATACACACACACGCACACACACACACATACACACTCACACACAGACACACAATACCCACATGGAGCCTCTCTCCTCACCTCCAGTGCTGCTGCGCTCTGGTTTCCAGCCCAGACCAGAGCCTCCATTTAAAGGTTCTGCTGTTGTCTGAGCAAACAAAGCAGCGCCCCAAATCGGTTCAATAACAACAGGCTCGCTCGTATTTTTCTGCTTGCGTTGAAAGAAAAGTTTCCCTGACTTTCTCCGTCAGCCTTGTGAATGTTTGGAGTGTAAACAGCGTGGCAGGGCACTGGGCCGGGTATGTGGCCACTGCACATCTGTATGGAGCAGATGAATGACACGTATAGCCTTGAGCGCTCTCTGTGTCCGAACCATCTCATCCACAGGCCTGAGGATGCGCTACATTTAGTCTGTCTGGGTGGCCACGGCTCTTCTGTAAATAAGAGTCTTCTGTCAAATATATATCAAGTTTAGATTATTTAAGAAAACACCTTGGGTTCAGACATGCAGGAGGGTCTAAGGACAGTGGTGATGATTCAGGACACTCGACATTCAACGACATTTATCAACATTTATGGACAATGGTCATCTGCCGCCTACGGACCAATGGCTCTCTGTGTGTTTTATAATTTCATTTCTTGTGATTGATTGTGATTTCTTGTTTGATTTTCTGATCTGTGTTATGGCGAATTCAACGGTTTTTTAAAGTCCTCCAAGACAACTCTTGGGATTTAGGGCTTAATAGTTTGAATTTTATTGAATTGGAAGAAACCGGTTTAAACATATGCTAGCTGGAGCCAGTTTCCTTATATGGGCATTAATTCCGACTGTTGCGCTGTAACAGGGGCTATAGGAAGATTGTTCTGATTACTGATTATTTTTGTAATTTGGTCATTTCCCTACAATTGGATCTAACCCATTCCTAGTTCAGTTTGGTTCTATCACTAGTTTTCACACAAATGTATTTTTTTTCCTCTGTCACAACTTTAGCTGTTTAAGGGAGAAATGTGTAAAAGAGAGGACCACCCTAGCTCTCAGCCCAAAAAGTTAAATAGTGACTCCCCGGGCTCTGTCTTACAACAAGTATGCAAAAGATAAAATGTTTTCTAGCTGATCTGATTTGTTGACACTTTAACTTTTACAAGACTCTTTCTGTTGGGGCAAACAACATGTGTTATTTATGACAACAACAGGTACCTCAGAATTAATTCAAGTGTAAGAGTCTGAAAGATGCTATTTACACTCCATGGTTTGAGATGGCATTAGCAATTTAAAGTATCAAAAAATAAGCTTATTGAAGTTGCAAATTACAAAATTAAGATTACAAAGAGAAAAGCCAGTCGTAATGAATTGTGATGGTGTGTGCAGAGGGCTTGCAGTGCGGATTTAGAGGGAGAATGGGGGGTCTTACCTGATACATGTGAGATTTAATTAGACGACGGGGATTGTGGAACAGCCGGGGAATTTCACAGGGGCTTAGTTTGAAAAAGAAGGGAGAGAAATAAAGAAGGTAGAGTATGTGTGTGCGCCCATGGGTGGGTATTTATTACTATGTGGGGGACAGAAGTCTATAAGCACACACACTTTTGAGGGGCCTTTTGTTTTGTGGGGACCTTATATCAGGCCTCTCATGAGGAAAATCTCCCCAATGTCATGGTTTAACGTTAAGAAATGGGTTGCTTCAGGTTATAGTTAAAGCCGGGATATGTAATTTGTTTGTCTC